TGGGGTAGCCCAAACTAAGTTATTTACTAGTGTGTCTTGGTTGGGTCGGTCGGTCAGCTTAATTTGGCGGTCATTCGAGACATTCAGTTTCTACTGCTTGGAGATCATGAGATGACGATGCTGACCACCATAGTTGTTTGGGATGAGTCTGGCTGGATGGGATAGTTCAGCTTTTGATCTACTACTAGTATACTACTGAGTAGTAGGGAAATTATTCTTTCATGTTATGTTCATAATCAGCAGTTGTGCATCTTCGTTGGGTGCAAAATATACCATCACACTGCGATGTGGATATATCTTCGAGTGAGGGTCCTGATTCCAAAATTCCCACGAATTATTTGAATGATATGATGTATGTAAACAGTCAGCTACTACTAGCAAAAGTAAATTCTATATGTATAGCTGCCATGGAATCAAAGCAGCGGCCACACTCTCTTCACAACCCCCACTGCTTCTTAACTTTATTCTTCACATCCTCTATCGAGACCATTTCATCCGCACGCACATCATCAGGTCCCAGAGGAGCAGACGGCTCCGGGACCCGAGCCCACGAATGATCCGGACTACAGATGTTGGCCGTTGTCGGCTTCCCCTCCTTTACCAGCTGTACGCAGTCATCACACAGATCGACCGCGCATTCGCGGCAAATATTCCCCTTTTCCCACGTCGCTGACGACACTCCACATCGAGCTTCGCAGATCCAAGCTGTTTCCTCCGGACAACTGACGCTGATAAGGATGGCTACCGCGGTGGACTCGTCATTCATCATGAGTAACAGCTTTGCAAAGGCATAGCTGGTTGTGTATGTACTCATCGCGTCGTTTTCGGCATAGACAAATTTCTTGACGAATGGGAGACAGTATTCCCGGGCCTTCTCCGCTTGATCGATTCGGTGATACCACAAACCAAGAATGGCTGTGGCAAAGTTGTTGGCAGCCCATTCGGAGACATGGTCTGAGTGGACCACTCTTCGTTTAGCAATGCGTTGGAGTGTGTGTATGTAGCGTTCGGACTCTGTGGTGCCTGGTCCGGCTCGGATGGCCCTGGTAAAGAGATAGACGCCATAGTATCTGCTCACTAGCGATTGTATGTATAGCATCAGCAGGTTCCCCTGCATGAATGTTGCGGGAAAGTCCATCACCATCTGCCAGATCTCAACAGCGCGGGATTCCTTGTTGTCATAGCTGATGAAGAGGTCTGCCAGAGACACTTGCAGAGAAAACGCCAATACCGAGTCGCGCTGTTTTTTTGCTACCTCAATTGCTGTCATATAAGCATATTCTAGCCATTCGAGCTGATCTGTGGCTCTGGCAGCAAACGCGATGGTCTGGTAGAAGTCACTGGACCAGACCATTCTTGAATTCTCCGAGAGACACTCTGTCAAGCGTGTGGCACCATTGTCACCGGACGCAGCGTCTAATCTTTTCAGGTGCTGTATGATTTTCTCATGGCTTTCAGGAGTCTTCTCTTCTGCAAGGAGCTGGATGTACTTAGAGAGGAACTTGCCCTCTGTGGTGACATCCAGAGCCTTTTCTAGGTAAATCAAAGCACTGGCTCTATCTCCGAGTGACAACAGTTCTTCGCCCACAGACTGGTAGGTGTCTGCAAGATCATAGTCTTCAACATTGTGAGGGAGCTTATCACGCGCCTCAGGGTTTTTGGAAGCAGCCTCCAATATTTCAATATTCTCTTTGTAGAGCTCCAGAGATTTCTCATGTTGGCCACTGAGACTGTAGAGATATGCTAGACCGCTTCTAGCGAGCCACATCTGATTGTCCAGTTCTAATGCCGCTTCAAAGTAAACCTGGGCTTCCTCATAGTGTGACGTGTCCCTCAGGCAAATGGCAACTCTCCGGTTCCATTCTGCTGTCTTGGGAAGTTTGGCCCATTCTGCCGCATCAAGCACAGTTGAGGCAGCAGGATTGTCGGGAATCTCTTCGTCTGCTTGGCCTTCAAGCAGGCATCTGATCCGATTTATGATCAGCATACATGTACGTGCATCCCATTGGTAGCCCTGGAGCCATTTCTTAGCAATGCACTCCGCAGCCGGAACGAGCAGCCTCGCGGGCTCCAGAATACTGCTCAACACCCAATCGCGTATATCCACCGGCAGAGAGTCTACAAACTGCTTATCATCTAAAAGCTTGGAGAATGGATCCAAGGTCTCCAAGGACCAGAAGTTATCTGCATCCCGTAAACTGATCCAAGCCTCCAGCACAGACTCATCACGGAGTGTTTTGAGCAGGACACCCCCAATTTCCTGCCGATCAGTCTCCCCGATTCGATGAATGTGAGGGATGACGGCCTTAGCATGGCTATGCCACCAGACAAGTGCATAATTCCGGAGGCTCGGACATTCGGTTGAGTTGCAAACCAACCGTAGACACGCTTTCAGCGTTGAGATTCTAGACTCAACAATATCAACACCAATGGCCACGTAGTCGGGGCCTGCAGAGAGCTTATTCTCGTTTTCGTCACGAAAGAAATCACCAACAGACGCATGGCGAAACATGACTTCCGTTGTTTCTGGATTTGAATTGAAGTCGGTTTCTAGCTCGAAATCTTCCGCATCTTCATCATGATCGTCATCGATCCGAAGAGGAGATACATCTATTTCCGCCTGCAAGTCGGCGGTTGTCAGGCCGTCATCTCGGATGAGTGTCAGAAAGGACGCAAATTGCAACCTAAGCAAACTTTCGATGCCGACAATCTCCTCCGGGTCAGAGGAACCCAGACTCAGCGTGGCTTCGATCTCTCGAAGAGAAAGAGGACGCGAAGCACACGCAACCCAGCCCAAGATGGTATTTAGTTCTTCAGGATCGTCGCCCTTCAAATAAGCGCTTAGGCCTTCCAGGGTACGTCTCATGGCCTCATACAGACCCTTCGGCGGTCGTTGCAAGCACTCCCTCATACTGCTCGCTCGATTATGTCGCCCCAACTCTTGGGTCATTAGGTCTACCCAAAGGAACATACCCTGTGCGTTCTTCACAAGAAATTCCATGACTTCTTTGCGCAGGCTTGGAGGCGCACGAGAGATGTTCCTAGACCTCCTCATAGAATGCTCAACGTAACGAGCGATATCATCATCATTCTTAGATCGATCTATAGAGATGGAGGCGACTGACTCCTGCAAGGCATCGGCTATATCAGCGGAAAGGTGGGGTCGTCCCAGCATAACGAACTGTACCCTGGGTTTGCCTGCGCATAGGTAGACTCAAATTAGCTTCCGACGGGCAGATGGCAGGACCATTAGAAACTTACTGCCAGCTTCATCAGCTGTAAGCTCAGACAGAAACTCCAAAAGACTCTGCCTGTCGGCCTCCATGCATTCGTCCAGACCGTCTAGAACGATATAGGCATGCCGGCTACCTGCATCATCTTCAATAAAGTAGTCCCGGAACAGCGTCATCCATGCGCTCTGAAGACTGCATATATCACCGGGTGCGCTGCAATGAGTTGCAACGTGTCCGGCATATACCGAATCATTGAGGCAGATTTGATATGCCACGTCCCGGAACGCCTGGTGCAATCCTCTAGTTTGTGGGTTGTTATCCTTGAAGAAATAGTAGCCAACAGAGACTTCCGAACCTTGGTCGACACCCTGGGGAAATCTTGTCTTCAGATTCGAGATAATGTATTCTGCGAGAAAGCTCTTGCCACAACCGGGAGGACCATGAATCCAGAGCAGCTGTTGCTCTTGTTTCAACCAAGCCTGGAATCCCACCTCTGCCTCTATCCATTCTCCAGTTCCAGACAGCCGTTTTCTTGCGAAAGTGTAATACATGTCTGAAGGGCCTACTGACGGCTGTAAAAGTGTCCTCAGGTAGTCAGAATCACCATTGCCCTTTGCACCTGACCCTATGAATGAACCTAATAGGCTACTGATGTCTCGGTGCACCTCCTGACGAAGATCATTCTGACCTTCGACGAGACGTTGGAGATCCGCCTGAGCCTGGGCTAACCTCCCATGGTTATCTTCTAATACAAGACTAGCGCCATTAAGCACAGCAGACAGATTCTCAACAGCTAAGTTGGTCTTTTTGGTCTCACCCAGGGTCTCTGCTCCAACTAACTGGTGTTCCGTTTGGCAGAGCCTGTCCAGCTTGGAAACCAGACCCTGTAGTGTTTTGTCGGAACCAAGCAAGGTATTCTTGGTAAATTGGAGGATTCGACCTCTCAATCCAGCCCGAACTATCTTGGTCGCTTGACCAAAGATCTCAAGTAAGGTAGCTAGGATATCAACAACCTTGGCTTGAAGTGCATCCGACATGCGACTACCGTCGTAGATGGCGAGGCGGACAAGAAAGTCCTATATTCTCAGGAGGGTCAGACCACGCTGTCTGGCAGGGTTTGTGATATGATATACATAGACTTGCCTTCAAGGTCACGAAAAGTGCCATGACTGCATCATAAGACGCCGACACATCTTTCGCAGCATCAATAAGATATGTAATGGCGCTGAAGCACACGCCACTGGCTGGAAAGGCGTTGGAGGCAATGCTTGCAGCCATAGACCCAAAGCGTTCAATTGGATTGCAGATGCATATCAGAATCTCGAAAAGCGAACGCTTCCTCTGTCTAAACTGGCCAAAATGGCCGTTCTGACTATCCAGTCGATCGAGCAACTCTTCCACTGAAGAGGGGTGGGGTAGTGAGGGTTCATCTAGTTGTTTGCCCACAGCCGCAGTATATCTCTTCAACGCCAAATCCCAGGTCACCACAAACTGGGAGTGGCTTTCGATGGTAATTGTCATCTTGTTCTATGCTGCTATCTTGTTCTATGCTGCTATCTTGTTCTATGCTGCTGGCTGATTTGTATGAAGACAAAAGACGATGACTGCTGCAGAAAGGAGCTAGTCCGGTCTTGTTCTGGCCCCGCCGCCCAAGAGAATAAGCGATGCCATACGAGCTATTTACCAAAATAGACAGGATTTGTGAAATATAGCGAAGTCCGCACTGCACATGTGGCATACAGTAAATATTAGGATCTATATTATATCCCGATGTTCTGCAAGAGGCTCTGCATAGCGGACTGATCGTCGTAGGTTAAGCTGGAGTGCCAGCAACCTGCAGACTGCATACAGGTCAATCATGAACCCTCTGAACCCTCTGACCTGCTCTAGACATCAAACAGAAATGAGTATTACCCGGAATCACTACGCTAACCAACACCTTGCTCCCGTCTATAGTCAAATCGTAGGCCTGTGAGATATGATTTCATGATTCAGGGAGCAGCCAGGCGGGATCCGGCTCGTCATCTTCATCGTCAGAGCGAGACACTGCACCATGATGGCGCTCATCAGTATCCTCGAGGAACTCAGCCGGAGGCTCGGGGTTGTCAACACCAAGGGGATCTCCATGAGGGTCATAATCCTCGTAAGTGTGAATACTGTTCGAGGTTCCTTTGTCGGCAGACGGGGAAATGTCTGTTTCGGTCACATTGAAGACATTCAAGAGCAGTTGCCGTGCTTCTCGCAACGCTTGCAACTCCGCAGATATGCAACAAACCAGCAACTTCCAGTCTTTATTCTCTGCAACCTCTAGATGATTTTCTACGCGCTCTGTGGTATGCGTCAGGTCGTCCAACACTGCCCGAGCGAGGTCCTCTTCGGACTTGCTACCAGAAGGGCCATCGTGGTTCAGTAGTTGCGATTGAGATTGGATAGAAAGACGCATTGCTGACTTGAGTCGCTTCTCAAAACCAGAAACCTCTCCGATCACTTGCTTCCAGACCCCACCTCCAGCTTCGAGGGCCTCGATTTCGGCATCCACTTCCCGTTGTCTTTCGCGCAGATCTGATTGTTCCTTTTGCCAGTGTTCCTCTGCCATCTCGAGGGTTCGTCGCTTAGGGTTCAAGGAATAGAAACTTGCGTCTTTGGAGCTGCTATCTTGAGGTTTCACGGGCGGGTTTTGGAGGTACTTTCGAATATTCGAGTCTAGGAGCGACATGGAGGCTCTGTAAGAAGAAAGTTTCGATTCAATAGAGCTTTCCATTTGGGACAATTCGCGAAGGATATGTTGATGCCTTGCTTTCATTTGGGACAGCCTAGTCTCCAACTCATGTATATCATCCTCAAGCTTGCGGCTCTCCTGGCGCAAGGCTACGGTATGCTGGCTTTCCCGGTTATCCTGAATTGTTGAAATGGCATTTTCTAGCCCAGTGCGATTGGTATTAAAGCCATTGATATCTGCCAACGCCTGTGTCCTTTCATCAATCCGGAATGTTAGTATCTCTCGCTCCTCCTCGCGAAGCCTTAAGAGGTCGTATATAGATCTGAATATCCCCTTCCGGGCAGCAGACAACCCGATCTTCTCCGGAGCCGGTTGGCGTATGGGTATAGTTGGGGGACGCTGCGAACTGCTTGTCTCCGAGGTTGGTGTATAAGTTCCATCAGAGATAGAGCCATTCTGCTGGGGACCGTTAAGACTGGCGAGAAGTCCTTCACTCTGGGCGTCGATTAGAATCTGTAAATTACGCTGAATATGTCTGGCCTCGCGGTCAATGTAAACGATAGGGTCCTGGTGAAGAGAAGAGGTCCCGATAGGCAGGGCCGGCAGGTGTTTGTCTCCAGCTTGCGGAAGAATCGACGACATTATGAAGAACTGGAACGCGGAAAACAGAGAACTACCGATGCATGAGAGTCCTCTCCTAGTAAAACCTGCAAAGAGAACAAAAGCGACAACCCGGAACCCAAGTGATGGTGAAGTGGTTGACTAGATCACGAGTGTTTGTGCAACTGCCCTGTCCGGTCTCATGCCATCATAGGTCACGTGCCATCTCTAGGGGTTTCTGCAGGAACCACGGGAACCTTTCGACAGCTTCCATTGACGTGTGTCTCGCTGCTCTGGAGGAAGCTTCCTGATCACTCCGAGCTCATCTCTTCCATCATCTGTTATTTTGTTGCCTTACCTTTTTCATCGCCCGTTTTCTGTACATTTCGTTCTTCGAGGTGCTTAGATCTTCAATAAACACCCCACCCACTCACCCACGACTTACCCTCAATCTCACAGCTCCGTCGAAGCTGTCGCCTCACTCCCCTCGCGACAGCACTCCCGTCCTCCCACAGCGATGGTTGGACTCGCTTCGGCCGCTGGCCTCGTCGGCTTTCTCTCTGAGCCGGATCCCGAGTTGAGAGTCTTTGCTCTGAAGACGCTGGACTCACAAATCGACCTGCTCTGGACGGAAGTCGTGGATGCTGTTCCTCAAATGTTCGTACTGGCTCTTGTCTCACCATCTGCCTGATACCTTCATCATAAATACCCCATCCTGTCTACCGGTTACAGGCTCCATCGATGCTGACCTTTTGCGATTCAGAGAAGCTCTTTACGAAGATGAATCGTTCCCCGAGCGCGAGCTCGCCGCCCTGGTCGCCGCAAAGGTGTACTACCACCTTCAAGAATACAATGAGAGTATGGTATTTGCTTTGGGAGCTGGGAAGCTCTTCCAGTTGGATAGCGGTGGCGAGTTTGAGGAAACCATTATCGGTAAGATTGACCGTTCCCTAAGCGTCTGCTCACTGAGAGCGTCCTCTTACTGGTATATACAGCAAAATGCGTCGATACCTTCGTCTCTCTCTCGGCGGCACAGCGGCCTGTCGCGGGTGACCAGCAAGCCAACCTGAACACCTCTTTCCCCACCTCCGGCGAAGGCGCCACGAGTACCTCTGCCAGTTTGACATCCCCGATCACACCCTTCTCGCAATCAGCCTTGCCATCCAAGTCGCTCTTGTCTAGGCAAGAGGTGCCCGGAGTGGATGCTGCTTACCCAGGGGGTGAAGATGCGGGCGTGAAGCACGCCGAAGAGACCCCTCTAGTCCTGAAGCGTGGTGTGCAGGGCCACCTTCAAACCGTTATCGATCGTCTATTCGAGCAGTGCTTCGTCCAGAAGCGCTACCGTCAAGTCATTGGAATCGCTATTGAAGCCAAGAACCTAGATGTGCTTAGAAAGACAATTCTCCGAGCCAGCGAGGATGAGAAGAAACAGAACGGGGAGTCGCGACGCAGTGAAGAACTCATGGAGTACGTGCTCGATATCTGCATGGGAATCGTGCAGGAACGCGGTTTCCGCAACGAGGTATATTCTCCAAAATGATCATGGCAAAAGACCCAGAGCTAACCCTTGCTTTGAAGATCCTCAAACTTATCCTCGAACTCCTCAACGAGATCCCGGCCCCCGATTACTTTTCCATTGCCAAGTGTGTTGTATATCTCAACGAACATTCCATGGCCTCGGTCATCCTCCGTCAACTAGTTGAGAAGGGGGACGCTCGCTCGCTCGCTGTCGCCTACCAGATCTCTTTCGACCTCTACGATAACAGTACGCAAGAATTCCTTGAGAAGGTTCGGCAGGAGATTTCGGAGCTCGTGCCAGAGAAAGATGAGTCCGAACAGGAGGCAGCAGGGGAGGACCAAGAAGAGTCGAAGGAGTCCGATCCTCTGCTGGACAGCCAGTCTAGGTCTATTGGGGACTCGCACGCGAAGATCTCACCCGAAGCACGCACGGCCTTTAAGAGCATTCGTGACATTCTCGATGGCGTCAAGACCAACCAGTTGAACGTGGAATTCTTATTCCGCAACAACAAGGCCGACATAGCCATTATGAACAAACTCCGCGATAGCCTGGAAGCTCGTAACTCTATCTTCCACTCTGCAGTCTCCCTCTCGAATGGTTTCATGCATGCCGGTACAGCGCACGACAAGTTCTTCCGGGATAACCTCGACTGGTTGAGCAAAGCTGTCAATTGGTCCAAGTTTACGGCTACGGCTGCTCTTGGTGTCATCCACAGGGGTAACTTGAGTCAGGGACAAAAGCTCTTGCAACCTTACCTGCCTAAGGAACGCTCCATCACCAATGTGGCAGCAGGAGGACACAGCGGAGCCAGCTCGATTTACAGTCAGGGAGGATCTCTGTATGCTTATGGTTTGATCTTCGCCAACCATGGTGGCATGGCTGTTCCTGTCATTCGGGATTACTTCAAGAAGGCTACAGATGAGGTCATCCAGCACGGTGGAGCTCTGGGTCTTGGTGTTGCAGGCATGGCTAGTGGCGATGAGGGGCTTTATGAGGATCTTCGCAACGTGCTATACACCGACTCGGCGATCAATGGTGAGGCTGTCGGTCTCGCCATGGGTCTCATCATGTTGGGTACAGGTAACATGAAGGTCCTCGAGGATATGATTCAGTATGCCCACGACACTCAACACGAGAAGATCGTTCGGGGTTTGGCCATGGGCATGGCCCTGATCATGTATGGTCGCCAAGAAGCTGCTGATGAGTTGATCAACGGCCTTCTCGGTGACCCTGACCCTGCTCTCCGCTACGGTGGTATCATGACTATCGCCCTTGCCTACTGTGGCAGCAGCAGCAACAAGGCTGTGCGTAAGCTGCTTCATGTTGCTGTCAGCGATGTGAACGATGATGTTCGACGAATTGCTGTTCTGAGCTTGGGATTCATTCTGTTCAGGAAGCACCAGAGTGTGCCTCGTATGGTTGAGCTTCTGTCTGAGTCATACAACCCTCATGTTCGTTATGGTGCGGCAATGGCATTGGGTATCTCTTGCGCCGGAACCGGTCTGGATGAGGCCATTGACCTGCTCGAGCCGATGCTCAAGGATTCAACCGACTTCGTGAGACAGGGAGCGCTGATCTCGTTGGCTATGGTCCTCGTGCAACAGAACGAAGCCATGAACCCCCGTGTCAGCTCGCTCCGCAAGGTCATGATGAAGATGATCGGCGATAGACACGAGGATGCGATGGCTAAGTTCGGCTGCGCTGTTGCCCTTGGTATCATCGATGCCGGTGGTCGCAATTGCACCATCAGCCTCCAAACGCAAACTGGCAACCTGAACATGCCCGGTATCGTTGGTGCTGCCGTCTTCGTCCAGTACTGGTACTGGTTCCCTCTCACCCACTTCCTGTCCCTTAGTTTCGCCCCGACCTCCGTCATTGGTGTCGACCAGAAACTCGAGGTGCCCTACTTCAAATTCCACAGCAACACGCGACCCAGCCTCTTCGACTACCCCCCGGAGCAGCAAGTAAAGGCCGAAGAGGCGCCCGAGAAGGTCAAGACAGCGGTCCTCTCGACCACCGCCCAGGCCAAGCGCCGTGCACAGCGTCGGGAGAAGCAGCAAAGGCGCGAAAGCATGGACATCGATCAGACCCCTACGACTCCCAAGGTGTCGGACCAGGTGCCTGACAAGATGGATACGGACGAGACAGCAGTGAAGACGGAAGAAGAGAACAAGGACGGTGAGAAGGATGCTGGCGAGGGACAGAAGAAGAAGGTTGAGCGGGAGAAGGTCGGATATGAGCTTGAAAACATGTCTCGAGTCCTTCCCGCGCAGCTCAAGTACCTCACATTCCCTGATCCCCGGTATGAGCCGGTCAAGCGGGTACGTTGCCCTTCCTATGTTCTGTGTTCTATTGCGATCAATACCTTGCTAACTTCAACGCAGCCTACCGGTGGAGTTGTGGTCGTACTTGACAAGACCCCCGAGGAGCCTCGCGAGACGATTGAGATGACGGCAAGCAAGGAAACCAGCAGGGAGGCTAGACAGCCTGCACCTGCCGCCGATGTCGCGGAGTCCCTTCAGGACCGACTACAGGCCACCATGGGAGCCGCTGGCCTGCAGACACCTCAACGTGGAGCCGGGCGCTTCCCCTTCGGTGCGGATCTGGGCCCGTTTGCGGGTGCTGCCGCTGCTGCCGGCGTACTGACGGCTGTGGATGAGGACGAGGAAGGCGGCGAGGAGGCGCCGGTGCCGAATGAGTTTGAGTATGAATCCGAGCCGGAAGACGAGTAGAGTAGTCCATGAGATCTACGAACCTGCTCGTTGTAATACTAGGATAATTATGGATTGATGTCTTATTTTATCTTTGAAAGCGGCACTAGCTGCGTAACGTTTTGAAGCATTTACTTTTACATATGTCTGTTGTTCGTTGATATAAAAGCTTCGGAATAGAAGTGAGGAGTGCCAATCACCAACTGTCTCGGCTGTGTGCATGCAGTTTCAAGGCCTTGAATTTCCCGAGTGGATTGTTCGATACTTTTGAGTTGCGTAAGTAGTAGCTCATGTTACACATGAAGCCAAACCTACAGCGGGCATATAAGTATCCTAGTATGACACTTTATATAGTGCAGATTCTGTACTTAGTGACACCAACTCCAAGAACACAACAACACGGAGTTCGGAACCTTTCTCAGGTCCAGCTGAGGTACTACTATTCAAGATATCCAACAAATCACTCCCTCAATAAATAATAACAATAACAATAGCCATTAATCAATCATGTGGAGACGAAATCTAAGCAACAGCATACTGTCAATAGTATCCAGCGGACCCTCCCACCCCATAATCATCCCGCATGTCAGATCCATTCATTCATCCAGACATGCCCCATGAATCCCCAGCTGATCACAAATTCCAGATACGATACATAACTTTCTTCACATGCTTACCCTGCCTGACTCCCGGGCAGCCGAACCACGCAGCCAGCCAGCCAGCCAGTCAGCCCCATGACATAAAACACACACCTGAAAGACTACTAGTAGTAGTAACAATCACTCGGGCAGCAGGGGGGCGGCTGCCTCGGCACTTACTGTATTCAGTCAATGCAGGTGCACGTGCCAAAGTGTCCGAGGTGTGTGATGGGCCAATGAGAAGCGGTGTAATGAGGGAACATCATCCGGAGTGGCCGAGGCGGGAGTTGGCCCACGTGAGTTGTTGTGCCCAGTTTTCTTTTGGCTGCTTAATGAGGTAATGATGTATGCTTGAGGTGTGTTTCCGGTGGTTGGATGGAGTTGGTACGAGACATGTGAAAATAGGATTATTTCTCATTTTCGTTGGAATAGATTTGAATTGAATTGAATACATACTCATTATCTATTCGGAGTGTTTGTATATTCTAGAGACAAATGGGAGTCTGTTGATCATCATCGGACTTATCTTTTGTACTGTGATTTAGTTACTCCGAGGGATTATTATTGCACTTCACGGTGAGTGTATATTGTGGGACATATTACTTTTTTGTCAACTCCGTTAGAACTAAACCAGACTAGACTATATCTTTCTTCTTGTCCGAAGGGGGGGGAAAAAGGCGGATCCACTCCACTCACCTTTTTTGCCGGGGCCCCGTATTATCTATCAGATGGTTACTTCGTGTCCTATGGATATCCCTAGGTAAAACCATTCTGGAGTGATCATCATCATCATCATCATCATCACCGTCCATTCATTCTTTGGCTTGTGGCGTGGCGGGGAAAGCTCCGTAGTCTCTGGTTTGGTTTGGTTCGGGTACTGCTGAGCTACTAACTGAACTGATTTCTTTGCTTTTCGGTCTGAGAAGCTTATATATTATTCTATCGGCTACTTTGGGTTCCCCTTTTCTTTTCCCTCTCTTTTTCTTCTCTCTTACTTCACAACTTGGTTTCGCTGGTTTGGTCCATCCCTACTAGTCATCTCTACTCTACCCTCCCCCATCCCGCATCCGGCTCTATACCCACTTTCTCCTCAACCTACAACCTATCATGGCCAAGACTTTCACAAAAGGCGACGTAGCGTCGCACAACAAGGCAGATAACCTCTGGGTGGTTATCGATGAGGATGTTTACGATTTGACCAAGTTTCAAGATGAACATCCAGGTGCGTGCTTGAATCCGGCGGAAGACGGTTGGTGGATCAATCACATGCTGACATCAATTTGCGACAATTAGGCGGAAAGAAGAGTATGCAATAAACCCCCTATGTCTATAGCGGAATCCCGCATCTTACCACTCGTTCCTCCCATCTAGTTCTTCAACGTGTCGCCGGAAAAGATGCCTCGAAGCAGTTCTGGAAATACCACAACGAGGGTATCCTGAAGAAGTACAAGGGAAACTTGCAGATCGGTTCCCTAGACTCCAAGAAAGCCGCGACTCCCGAACCACCTGCTTCTGCTCCCACAACACAGCCTTCCAAGCCTTTGGCGGCACCAGTCGATGTTGCCTCGGCGAATTCGTCCGAGACTCAGGATCCATTCGGTGAACTCATTCCTTTTGCGGACCCGGCATGGTACCAAGGTGTAAGTCTTTTGTCTTGTCATTGCTACTTTTGCAAGCGGAGGTGTGGAAGGAGACACTAGGCTGACATTGATTACGACTATTAGTACCACTCACCCTACTTTAACCAGACTCACTCGGCGCTCCGCGAGGAGATCCGCCAGTGGGTGGACTCTGAGATCGAGCCGTATGTGACCGAATGGGACGAGGCAAAGAAGGTGCCCGATCATATCTATAAGCAGATGGGCGAAAGGGGATACCTGGCCGGTCTCCTGGGTATGAAGAAGTACCCTGTCGACTATACTCCGTACCGGGTTCAGTCCGTCGCGCCAGAGAACTGGGACTTGTTCCATGAGATGCTCCTCACCGATGAGTTGTCGCGGGTCGGCAGCGGTGGCCTGGTATGGAACCTGATCGGCGGTTTTGGCATTGGTTGCCCGCCGCTGGTGAAGTTCGGGAAGAAGCCCCTTGTCGACAGGATTCTGCCCGGTATCTTGGCTGGAGACAAGCGTATTTGTCTGGCCATCACCGAGCCGGATGCGGGTAGTGATGTTGCAAACCTGACCTGCGAGGCTAAACTATCGCCCGACGGCAAGCATTACATTGTTAACGGCGAGAAGAAGTGGATCACCAACGGTGTCTGGTCGGATTACTTCACCACTGCAGTGCGCACTGGTGATGCCGGTATGAACGGCGTCAGTGTACTCCTCATTGAGAGGAACATGGGCGGTGTTAGCACCAGGCGCATGGATTGCCAGGGTGTCTGGAGCAGTGGTACCACCTATATCACCTTTGAGGATGTCAAGGTCCCGGTTGAGAACCTCATCGGCAAGGAGAACCAAGGATTCAAGGGTGAGTATCCTAGGAAAATGATGTCTGTTTCGCAAAGCACTAATGATTTCTGCAGTCATCATGACCAACTTCAATCACGAGCGTATCGGCATTGTGATCCAGTGTGTCCGGTTCGCTCGTGTGTGTTATGAAGAGTCGATGAAGTATGCCCACAAGCGCCGCACCTTCGGCAAGAGGCTCATTGACCATCCCGTAATTCGGATGAAGTTGGCACACATGGCCCGTCAGATCGAGGCAACATACAACTGGCTGGAAAACATCATCTACCAGTGCCAGTCGATGGACGAGACTGAAGCCATGCTCAAGTTGGGTGGCGCCATTGCCGGTCTGAAGGCACAATCCACCACCACTTTTGAGTTCTGCGCCCGTGAGGCCAGTCAGATCTTCGGTGGTCTCAGTTATAGCCGCGGTGGTCAAGGTGGTAAGATTGAGAGGTTGTACCGTGATGTTCGGGCCTACGCGATCCCAGGTGGAAGCGAGGAAATCATGCTGGACCTCAGCATGCGTCAGAGCTTGCGTGTGCACCAAATGTTTGGGCTGAAGCTCTGAGAGCTGCTATCTTCCTGCATTTTTGAGAGTACATAGATCACTATTGTAGTCGCTTTTCATGGCCATTTTTGCGGGTTGGATGAGAAATTGTATCTCCCACATGGTGTATTTATATGAACAAATTTGGATTAACTTGGTAAAATAAGCTATTTTTTCAGTTAACTCAGCTGTGTTAGTATCGATATGGATGTTTGCTAGAATGAATGAAATCATTCAAAAAGATTCATCAATGGAACAAACAAGATCTTCAAAAAGAGCAAGAGCGATGCCGCCGGGCGCATTCCGGCCGGGCAGGAGGACCAGCCATGCAACACGCCCGCCCGATGGAAGCCATCGATCTTGAACTCCGGCCACCACTTCTCCCCCAAATCAGCTTTTTCATCCCAGCAGCCACTTCTCTTTCTCTCCAGGCCAATTTACCGGCTGTTATGTGCTAGCAGCCTGTCTTGGCATATTGTGGGAAGAACCCGCCTCTCTTTCACCTCGCTCTCACTCTGCCCCGTTGGAGACTACAACACTACCTATCCTTGTCGCGGTCGCGGACTCGGACTCCCCGAACGAACGGAACTCTCCGCCCCAAACAGCTCCTGAAACCTTACACCTGGTTGCTTCTGCTCTTTAGTTAGACTGCCATTTGTCGTCTTGGATTCGCCCTCTCCAGTCTTTCATATTTCGGGTAATTCGTTGCCTCTCTTACAGATCTGTGAGCTAGCATTCGCCACAGCTTCCTTTACGGTGCCGGGTTCGATATCTGTTGGACTCCTCTGAGCCCTCAGAATCGAGTTGATATAGTTCGATATCGCTTGACGTACGACAAATAACACTATCCAACGCTTCGTCTTTTCTTCATCTGTGCTTTCTTTGCAAAGCCACCATCGACCCCCCTGCGCCTTGAAACATGTCTCGAAACGTGCTAGACCAAGACTTCGGGTCTGAAGAGGAGGACGATGACTTCAACCCCGCTCCTGCGGATGACTCTGGAGATGAGGATACTAAGGTTTGTTGCAGGATTGGGTGGCAAAGTGAACCGTTTCACTGATACACGATTGAAGCAGGCTGCGCGTCGCGCCCCGGACGATGAAGATGATGACGATGACGAGGAGGAAGTGAACACTGGACGGAGTGGAAGGCAACGTGCTGGTAGTGAAGATAATGCCGGAAGGGGCGCCGATGACGACGAGGAGGGCGATAATGACGACGAAGAGGAGGAAGGGGATGAAGAGGATGAAGACGAAGAGGAAGAGGAGGAGGATGATGACGAGGATGCCAATGCTGTGAGTATAGGTTCTGGTCTTAAGTCTGGAAAGGTCACCGGCTGATCATGGTTTCGTTTGTAGGGACGCCCACGGAAGCGCAGACGCAAAGCCGGCGTGCACTCGTTCTTCGAAGAAGAAGCCGGTGTCGATGAGGATGAGGATGAGGCTGAGGATGACGAGGACGAACTGGCGGAATTCGGTGGAGAGATGCACCCGGATGATATGGACGCCCTGCCTGTTGGTGCTGAAACGGACGACCGCCGACACAGACAGCTTGATCGTCAGCGTGAACTGGCAGCTAGCATGGATGCGGAGAAGCAGGCCCAGATGCTCAAGGAGCGCTATGGACGGAACCGCGCCGCGGCTACTGACGCAGTGGTTGTTCCCAAGCGACTGCTTCTTCCTAGTGTGGACGACCCTAGCATCTGGGGTGTTCGCTGCAAGGCCGGTAAGGAACGTGAAGTTGTGTTCTCAATCCAGAAGCGCATTGAAGAGCGGCCTCCGGGATCTCGAAACCCCATCAAGATCATGTCGGCTTTCGAACGTGGAGGTGCTATGGCCGGTTATATCTATGTTGAGGCGCGCAGGCAGGCCGATGTCATGGATGCACTACAGGACATGACCAATGTGTATCCGAGGACGAAGATGATCCTGGTCCCAGTGAGAGAGATGCCCGACCTCCTTCGAGTACAGAAGTCCGAAGAGCTCATGCCTGGTGGCTGGGTTCGTATCAAGCGTGGTAAATACCAGGGCGATCTGGCGCAGATCGAGGAAGTCGAAACGAACGGCTTGGCAGTGACTGTGAGACTGATTCCGCGGTTGGATTACGGCATGAACGAGGATATCGGTGCCCCTATTGCCGATCCGAAGAGGAAGCGCCCTGGCATGAACCCAGCAGTGGCACGGCCTCCCCAGCGTGCGTTCAGTGAAGCTGAAGCCAAGAAGAAGCATGCAAAGTACCTGTCTGCCACGTCTGGTTTGGGTGGAAAGTCATGGAACTATCTCGGCGAAACATATGTGGATGGCTTCTTGATTAAGGACTTGAAGGTTCAACATCTTATCACAAAGAATGTCAACCCTCGACTCGAGGAAGTCACCATGTTTGCTCGCGGCTCCGAGGATGGCACCTCGAACTTGGATCTGGCTTCCTTGGCCGAGACGCTCAAGAACTCCGCTGCTGAAGACTCCTACCTTCCCGGCGACCCGGTGGAAGTGTTCCGAGGTGAACAACAGGGCTTGATCGGTCGCACAAGTTCTACTCGAGGAGACATCGTGACTCTGCTGGTTACGGAGGGCGATCTGGCTGGGCAGACAATCGATGCGCCTGTCAAGTCCCTTCGCAAGCGTTTCAGAGAGGGTGACCATGTCAAGGTTATCGGTGGCAGCAGATACCAGGATGAGCTGGGTATGGTTGTACAGGTCAAGGACGACACAGTGACATTACTTAGCGACATGAGCATGCAAGAAATCACAGTCTTCAGCAAAGATCTCCGACTATCCGCTGAGACTGGTGTTGATGGAAAACTGGGCATGTTCGACGTTCATGACTTAGTGCAATTAGAGTAAGTTCCCTTCTCCCGCTGCCATGGACACCATTTTCTAACTCATGCAGTGCTGCCACCGTTGCTTGTATCGTCAAGGTTGACAGAGAGTCGCTGCGGGTGCTGGACCAGAACGGCTCTATCCGGACGATTCTTCCCACACAAGTTGCGAACAAGATCACTCCTCGCAAAGACGCTGTGGCTACGGATCGCAATGGCGCAGAGATTCGCCATGGAGATACGGTTCGAGAGGTCTACGGCGAACAGAGAAACGGCGTGATTCTCCACATTCACCGTTCTTTCCTGTTCTTGCATAACAAAGCGCAAGCCGAGAACTCTGGTATCGTGGTCGTCCGCACCACCAATGTAGTTACCGTCTCGGCCAAGGGCGGCAGATCTACCGGACCTGATCTCACAAAGATGAACCCGGCTTTGATGAGGAACGGCATGCCTGGTGGTATGATGGGTCCTCCCCAAAAGAGCTTTGGGCGTGACAGAATGATCGGTAAGACGGTCATGGTTCGCAAAGGGCCTTTCAAGGGTCTTGTTGGTATCGTCAAGGACTCTACAGATGTGCAGGCTCGTGTGGAGCTGCACTCTAAAAACAAGTTGATCTCCATTCCCAAGGACATCCTCGTCGTCAAGGATCCTGTCACAGGACAGACGATAGACATGGGCCGTGGCCGCGGAGGACCGCGCGTGCCGCATGGAGGATCTGGAGGACCTCCCTCTGCCTGGCAAGGCGGTCGTACCCCAATGGGAGCTGGAGATTCGTCCCGGACACCAGCTTGGGGCGGTCCATCGTCGTCGAGAAGTGAGCATCTCTTTCTATACCAGTACACCGTTTCATCGTGCTAACCTCATCTTCAGCACCCGCTTGGGCCGGCGTGGGCGGTTCCCGCACCCCAGCCTGGAAGCAAGACGGCTCTCGAACCTCCAACCCCTACGATGGCAGTCAAACCGCCTACGGAGGCTTTGGCTCGCGTACGCCCGCCTGGAACGCTGGAGCTCGCACTCCCTACGTTGGCTCCGGCAACAGTGACTTCGATGCTTTCGCCGCTGGCTCCCGAACCCCCGCTTGGGGCTCCTCCAACGCCGGTAACCGCACTCCTGCCTGGGGCGGAGCCACCGCCAGCAACGGCACCAAGGACCGTGGCTACGATGCCCCAACCCCTGGAGGCTACTCTGCTCCTACCCCCGGTGCCTACGGAAGCGCACCTACCCCTGGTGTTTCCGCACCCACGCCCGGTGCTTGGGCAGATAGTGCCCCGACCCCGGGTGCCTTCAACGCGCCCACTCCCGGCGACAAGAGAGCCTACGACGCACCTACGCCAGCAGCTTTCGATAACGCTGGCGGTAGTCGTCCATATGATGCTCCCACACCAGCTCTGGGCGGCTCTGCCGCGACCCCAGGCGCAGGTGCATACGGAGATGGTGACGATGGTGGACCGCGGTATGAAGAGGGGACACCTAGTCCTTGAGGACAGAGGCAGAGATTTTGAAATGAATATGTGAAAATAGACAAAATGCGGGCGTATCAATTTTCTCTTTTTCTCTGTTTTGTGCTTCTTACGTTCTAATCACATCATATCATTTCATATCATATCATCCGGGTGCGAGAAGCATGGTTGTTTCGGTGGACAGATTTTTATCTTTTCATTACTGTATTATGTGTATCATCTACTTATCACTACAATCCATCAATTACATTTTCCACAGTGAGAACCCACGTGACAAACATCCTGAGAGGGTGAAGCAAGATAAAGAGATCTACGTCACAGAATTAAAGAAAAAAAAAGAATGAAAAAAATATCACATGAACGTATCCTTTCCGCTTGCTTGCTTGCTTGCATTCATTCCTTCTTGCCTTGCTTTTGAGACTTCAAAATAAAAATACATAGTAAAACAGAGAGGGATTGCAGAAACAACTTAACGCAATCCTCTAGAGATCTAATCAATGAATAAAATCACAAACATACATAAGCATCTCATCGACCATAGAATAGTTAAATAGTTGTTATTGCATGCGATCCCGTCGTCCAATTTTGTGTATCCGTGTTATGTGCGAGAAGATAAAAAAAGAGTTTCTTGGGAAGATGGAATAAGAAAAAAAGTGGATAGAGATAAATGAAGGTAAAACTATGGCGGTACGGCTCGTGCTAGAACACGGACATTATCCACGAAACCCTTGATCAGTTCTTCATACTGGTTTTTGGGATCTCCTGTCATAGCCATTTGGCCTTGGCGGCGGATTTCGGCGGCGGAGATTTCGACTTCGAGTTCGTGTTCGAATTCGCCTTTGACTGGGGGCTGGAGGGAGGGAAATGTTAGCATGTCTTTGCTTCTTTTTGGGGGGTGAAAATTTGTTAAGGGATTCTTACCTCTGATTTCGCAACCTGGGTTAGATCGATCTGGTATGCTAGATGTCGATAACTCATACGATCCTTGTTCCGGTCGCCGCCACGACCACCCCTTCCGTCGGCGACGGGCAGGTTACTGACATCGCCGTCGTAGCTCATTTCGAGGTTGACGCTGATTCGCCAGTCGACACAAGTGCGTGGGCTGTGTACGTCGAGGTCGGCGATGCGGCATTTGACGATCTTTGCGAGGACTTCGCCCGTTCGCTGATCGACGGTTACACGCACCTTGGGTTTATGACGCGGATTGAGGTTCTGTCGGATGACTGGCGGAAGCTCGTTGGGAGAGACTTCGTAGAATGTATCCCTCTCCTTCTTGTGCGCGTATGAAAGTGGGATGCGACCTTGATTTGATTGGGGCATGGACATCTTGACCGCTTCGTTGAGGAAATTATTCATTGCTCGGTGTTGCGCCTTTGCAGCGTTAGCTGGTTAATACATATAGAAACATGCATGGTTACTTACCACAGTCATAGTGCTTTCAAACGCAGTCCTGAAGCGCGGGTTATCCTTGTTTACAACAGTCTCAGTCAAGATTGGCAGAACCATTCGCTCCCCGCGATCCATGTCGATGAGCTGACCCAGTTTAGCTTCCACCTCAATGATAGGCATTTGACCGGCAGCAGCCGCCCCAGCAGGGGCTGCAATGGCGTCATTTCGGAGCACGACGTGTTGGAAAAGGAAATCGGCGACGATTTTGGTGACCTCCTCGTGCGGGATAAACCCCGTGATAGACGGTTCCCATGGCCCCAAGCTACCGACCTGTGGAGGTTCGGATGGCCGCTGCGGCGTCGGCGTCGAAGGTCCATTCACGGGCGTGGATTCCCCTTTTACTTTGACAGGAGGAGCAACCGCAGCAGCCACAACTCCCTGCGCGGAGGACACGGCGCGTTGGCGCACGATCCAGGGGTTTGCTGGCGAGTCTCTCGCGTGTTTGGGAATAGGCGGGTGTGGCTTTGGGATTGGGGGACATCTTCCTTTCGAGCGAGCACATCTTTGGGCGTAGATAGGCGGTTCGTTGAGCCTTCGCCGTTTTCGCTTGGGCTGTTGCGGGCTCGACGTGATTTTCGGGTCTGAAGCCACTCTAGCTTTTTGGGCCCACTGGGGCGCCGAATCCTCCACAGACGATTCCTTTGTGATGGACATTCTCGACGAGGGTGAACTGTTGATGTGTTGCTGATGTGTGGGAAGACTGGGGTTCGTAGATTGGCCCTCCTTGATTATAGTTCCATTCTCAACGTGTTCTGGCTGCGATAAAGCGGTCTGGTCGGGACGTGCCGTACTTGCCTCGGAACGAGCCCCTGGGAGGAAGGTAGTTCTCGGGCTCACACTTTCGTCTGACTCCCTTCTTTCTGAGGTGGAACTGTGTTTGCGCGGAGTTTGGTCTAGTGTTCTTGATTCTGCTCGCGATGACCGCGCCGCGGTGGAGGGCGACACGTGCATGGCGGCAGCGGCAGCGTCCGGGCCCACCCACGGACTGGAAGCTCGATTCGAAAGAGAGTCACGACCTGAAGATTGAGGACGAACAGAAGATTGGGGTGATTGGTGGGCGTAGATAGCAGCAGCAGACCCTCGTGGCGTATTCGGTAGCGATCCTTGTGCCGGAGGGGAGAAATGTTGCGACGGATAAGGTTGTGCAGCGCCTGTCGGGGAACTTTCCCTGGGATGGAATGAGTTGGAGGAATGGGAATAGGGGGTTAGAACAGACTGGATGGATTGCGACCGTTGTTGAGCGACGGGGGACTGCTGCTGCTGCTGTTGCTGTTGATTGTAAGCGACGGACGCGGCGAAGGAGTCACGCGAGACGGAGGCACCGTAGGGAGGAGGGGTCGGAGCTCGTTGGGATGGCGCGCCCGGAATTATGGCCGGTGAGGGACGATATTGGTAAGGTGATTGAAGAGATCCGTAGGAGGAAGAGCGCTCGGGAGATGCGTGAGATCGTTGCGGCGGCGGAGGGCCGGGAAAGGCTGACGGATAGGAGGATGAGGATGGCAGCTGGTCGCGCGGAGGATAGATGGGGTCGGAGGAATCGCGAGGCGCTTGAGATGGCGACGGATGTGGTTGGGAGGGAGCGCTGGAGTTGCCAGCGCTCTCCGTGTTCATGATAGTGCGCAAGTCCATGGTGACAGCTGGCTAGAAAGCGACAACCTGAAGGTGTTGAGTAGCAAGAAAGAGGGAAGCTGCAGACTCCCTCACACGATCACTTGGGGACAGCTGAACTCCAGCCAAAAAGCTCGGAGAAGTCACGAGAGAATGGCGAGGAATGACGGCATGAGGCAATCGCCAGTGAGTTGGCGATTTGCAGGGTGGAAGGGTGAAGGGCACGAAAGAGCCGGGATGGAAGGCGAAGTCGAGGAGGAAGAGGAGAAGGGAAGAATGAGGAGAGCTGAATTGAAGGTCGAGAAGTTCACGTCGCGGGATCGGCACCGTATTCTGGCGTGCAATTGGCGGGTGGCCGATTGGCGGCTCGGAGCTCCCATAGAAAGAAGGAATTTTGGGGAAGAGAAGAGAGTGATGGAAGATGAAGCGCAGTGGAATGAGGATGAGAAATGGTTATTCTAGCTGTCAGTCGAGAAATGGGGAAGAGACACATCACCGATAAGTTTAATCAGTAAGTAGAAAGTAGTAAGTAGTAAAGTAGCATTCAGTGTATAGTTAGTTAGTAGTCCCTTCCCTGCTGCCTTCCCGCCCTAAGGTTGCACCGCTCTGAGTCTCATTGCGACGCTGCCTCCACTCCCGTCTTATTCAGTGTACAAATACATTTGAATATTAAGATGATACGTGGAAAAGCTCTGTTTCTACCATTAGAATTGTAGAGTGTTCTTTTACCATGCCTTGGACTGTGCCTGTCAATGGTGCAGGTTGTATAGTATAGATTGACCGGGAGTAGTAGCTATAAGTATACCCGGCTTCATCCACTCCCCGTTCAAGATATCCACTTGTAAACGAGATAAAAGGCACAACCCAAGTGCCCCTGACATACACCTAGGTACTCATTCGACTATACGCTAGTTCGTTTCATTCGTTCACTCATACCATGCCAGTTAACAACCCAAGAATCTCTTTACAGCGTGAGGGGATACCGAAGGTGGCAGCAAAATCCAAAAGGAGAAAGAAAAAGTAAAGCCAACAGAAAAAAGAAAAGAAAAGAAAACAACAGCAACGCGAGACGATGGTGTAGTGCAAGTTGAAAAAGAAACAACAAGTCGTCTAATGGTGCTTTTCTCCATGGCGCTACAGTGCCACACCCCATAATCCACGTCCACCGCAGACCCCGAGCCAGTCTCGCGGATGCCCGGCAGGGGTGGTACCGCCCTGCGGCGACCAGCTAATGTTCGACACTTCGTTGTCGCAGAGCCATACGGCGGCCGGGCCACGCTCACTGGGTGTCGCGGGCGTGCCCGCATTATGCGGGGCGGGAGGCATGGGGGGCACAGGAGCCGCATTGTGCTGGTTGATGAGGTCCCACAGAAGTACGAAGCAATCGTCCGCACCAGAGGCCAGAACCCCGCGGCGATTGGGCGACCACTCAACGCAGTTGATGGAGGAGCCGTGACCTTTCAGTTCAAGAAGAGCCTGTCCGGGCTGTCGGACGTCTAGAACCCGCACGATGTTGGAATCTTGCGAGAAGGTGGCAAGAAGGTGGGAATCATGGGGTGATGCTATGACTGTTAGCGTCCAGTTTCAACGGCTGCCAGCAAGCCCGACCAGATACATACCAGCGATGCGTAGTAGAGGCGGGGGCCATACGGGCTGGGCTTGTCCAGAAGGACTTCCATTGCCCGGAGTGGGGACTATAGCAGGTACCCGTTAGCGTATAATGCAGGGATCTCTAAGAAGAAATAAATTGGCATTACCCTTCTCATGCTTCTCCGTGGGCTCGTAGATGATAGTGCTATGTTCTAGGCTGCGGAGATCAAACATGCGCACACTACCATCAGCGCCACAGCTGACGAAGACGTCCACGCTATTCGCGCAGAACCGAACATCGTACACCTCTTTGTCATGTGCAATCAGCTGCGTCTTAGCGGTAAGGGTGGGAATATCCCAGATCGTGCAGGTGGTGTCGATACTCGAGGTAATGATCAGACTGGGGGAGATCGTATTCCAGTCCAATGAGGTGATTGGAGCGGTATGCTCGGGGGATTTGGAATTGGAGAGCAAAGCCAGCGGCGACAGTTTCGCTGTCGGTGCGTGTTGGCTGGCCGACCGCGTAATGGAATTGGAACTTGGTACGGGTTGCGCCGTTGGCAGCGACCATAACCGCAAATGATCGCCCGACGTGGCCAACAGATCGGTAGACTGCTTCTGCGACGACGGCGGCTCCCAGAGTATCCGTGTTACTGGATATGAATGGGTGGCCTCTGCGGTTTTCACATAGTCGAGCTTAATCTCCCCCGCGGCGGCATCTGGCGTATCGGGGTCCGGTTGTGTCCAATGGGTATCTATAATTTGTATCTATTCCAAATTAGCACAACTTTGAGGTTGCGAATATGAAGAATGCAAGGTGGCAGGGGTACGCGTACGTAGTTGTGGTTATCCTCTAGGTAGCTTCCCAAGGCAATCTTGCCCCCGAACGAGCTGGAGCTCCCCGTGATAGGCCATTTGCACCAATCCATGGAATATATAGGCCAAGGAGCGATGTAATTGCTATTGGTAGGTACCGGATTATCCCCGTTGAACGGCGCCATACCGGAGCTGGTGATTGGGTCACCTAAAAGGTCCCCTGTCGGTCGGATGTCGGCTAGACCCAACGGTGAGTATTTTGTTCCCTGAGGAGTATGGGGAGGGTATGCAGAGCCAGGAGAAGAGCCTGGCTGTCTGTATTTTGGCTGCTCAAACCCCGCTGGGCTGGATCTAGAATGCCCATGAGAGTTGACCATACTGGCGCGGGCATTTGGCTGCTGCTGCTGCTGGGGCGGTTGTTGTTGTTGTTGCGCCGACGGGGGCTGTTGTCCTGATTGTGATGTTGGCTGCATTGGTGTATTCAATTCAGGTAGCGTTGGTAGCGCCGAAGGTGCAGTGTTGACTGATACTGCAGGTGGACGGTTGACGTTACCCGGCTGAAGCGCTCCCGGGAGTACTCCGCTCGCGCCGCTGCTTCCACCACCACCATACTGACCCGGTTGCGACCCCAATGGGTGGACATTGATGGAAGGGACATGGTTATCTTGACCGGCGGGGTATTCGTGAGGCATCGATTGTCGTTGCAGATTGGGGCCCGTCGATGGAATATGGAGCTCCTCAGGTCGACCGTAGCTTGTCGCCCGCCGAGCGTCGTAAGGCTGTGTAGGATTCGACATGACAGCGATGGCCGAACAACCCGAGACCTCAAGAATGAAAGGCGCAGCCCACCGCACAGCAGTTGGAGCTCAATGAGATTCTCGGATTGAGTTCGGGAGTCGAAGACGTAGGGCGATAACGAGGGTATGAGGACTATCCGGAGGAGAGGGGATTGGCGCTAGGAGCTCCGACTGCACCAGGGATGTGCTCGGTCTGGATCATATCACGGGGGAAAGATGATTAAGGAGTCAGAGAGACATCCTCGAGCTCGAACGAGGGGAAGGAATGCCTGCAGAAACGGAGAAAGTCGAAGGGAGGAGCGATGAGGCAGCAAAGCGCCGCCGAGGGGAGTCTCGTGCCGCTGACTCAGCCACCCATATCGCGGGGAATTCCTGCGCTTCTCCTTCCATCATCATCATCATCGTTGGTTGGGGTTGAGATAAGCGATCTTGTCTTGCGTTGCAAAACGAAGATATTTGGCACCGGATTACTAGGTGGGATTCTACATTTATATTCCGCATTAAAGGGCACATCGGCGCTGTATAACTCTTCGACTCTATCGTTATCGCCTTGAAACTCTACCCTTGCAGTGTTTCTTCTCTACTAAGCTCCACCACCCGTGAGCTCCCCTCTCTTCTCCCCGCAATATGGCTTCAGATCAACTTTCGGCCCTGCTTCTGCTGCCGCCACCCCCTTCGGCATCGTTCGATCAGTTCAAGGCTGCATACGAGCCCATTCTGTTGGGTGTCTGCACCAAGCTTGTCCGGGAACTTAATGGAGCCAATCACGCGGCCATACTAGATATTGCGCTCTCCCTTCCAGGCCTTCTATCCCCCTCATGTCGGCCGCGCACTAGGGCATTTTCAAGCCTCCAGTCTTTTCTGGAAAGCATCTATAGGCTTATTGGGATTGTGTGTGTTGAGCAAGGCATTGAGCTCGACGGTCCTGGCGGTATTGATGCCCGTGTGATCTTACTCGACTACGATTCAGTCCAGACTGCCGTTCCCGGGGACAATCCGTGCGATGGTCCTATTATTGACTTGCAGACGTTGGCGCGGTCTGGGCGACTGTGGGATTTCATATACTACCCGGATAACCAAGTAGGTCAGGGTCTAGCAACGGCCTTCAGTAGCTTCTATTCTGAGTCTAAGGACCCCAACGGCGGATCTATGAGCGCAATCCCAAATGCACCCAATTGGAAGGCTGCAGAATCTCTTCTGGTGATGGATGATAACCACATATCAACCACGCATTACTCTGTGGCTGTAGGAGGCACTTTCGACCATTTCCACATTGGGCACAAGCTCTTGCTCACGGCTACGGCGTTGGTATTGCAGCCTGCTGAGGATGTGGAGGCAGGTAAAGTTCGGAAGATCACCGTCGGGGTGACAGGAGAAGGTTTGCTGGCGAAGAAAAAGTATGCCGAATTTCTGGAGAGCTGGGATGAGCGATGCATGAGTACCGGGTCATTCCTTTCAGCCATCATGGATTTCCGTATCCCGGAAACCAGTGCGCCGCGCATTGAACGAGAGTCTGGGTCTGGACCCGATGACAAGTACATCCAGATGCAAATGCGGCCGGATCTAGTCTTCAAGCTGGTACAGATCACGGATCCTTTTGGCCCTACCATTACCGACGAAGAGATTAGTGCTCTTGTTGTTTCCAAAGAGACTCGTGCAGGTGGGGGCGCGGTCAATGAGGAGCGTGCGAAGAAAGGCTGGGAGAGCCTGGAGGTGTTTGAAGTCGACGTACTACATACAGGCGAAGTCCCCACAGATGATGCCGAGAGTTTCGCGTCCAAGATAAGCAGCACTGATATCAGACGGCGTCGGATGGAGATGGCCACGGAATAAATTAGCGCAGTGAACTGGCAAAGCGTGCGGGCAGCTATGCGAACCAGTCGTCAAGCTCGAGAATTTAGACATTGACAGCTGTCCTGAAACGGCAGAGGGCAGGCGTGCAGATATGGGGATGATTGGGCACGATGCGATCTTGTACATACATTGCCGGCATCACCAGCAGCCAGGGACAACAAAGCGAATCATGGGTTAAATCATATTGATTTTTTTGTGAGTTGCGATGGTGCTTCTTGATGAAGTGACGCAACAAGGAGTGAGCTTCAAATATTTTTAAATGGGGTTTGTAAAAATAGACGGTCTCCGCACTAATATGTGGTGGTGGACTCCTACTACTTCTTTTTCTTCCGTTCTTTCTTCAACCGCCATTCAATTAATATTTTTGCTCCTTTCTAATTTCCGGGGAAATTTTTGAATGGCCTGTTTTCTTGAATTATCATTCTCTTTGTTTGATTTGCTAAACACAAATTACCCCTGAGAAGGGTTCAGAATGAGTTATTTTCTTTGTTCAGAGAGGAAAAAGAGAGAAGAGAGAACAGACCACCAACCATCTTATCTCCCCGGCGTTTGGGATTGCGCCCTGGACTCGGGGGCTACTGGCCCAGAGTGTTTTAGGGGCTGATGATCCTTTCCCTCACAACATCCCCACGCGAGGCTTTCCAGTCCGGACCAACGCAATGCCATTGTTGGCGATTCCGATCCAGTTCTGCAATCTCGATACCGTGCTGCTAAGTACTAGTCCTGCTGCTAGCACCCCCCGGTTTGATGGAGCAGCTCCAATGCGCTAGGCTCACGGAGATGGGGCAGAAGGAGGGAATAAATGCCGTGCGCAACTCGCCAGTCGCAAGCAGGGACGATTTAGGCTTGGGAATGACAGGCCGCCATTGATTCGCGTTCTTTCCAGGCGGGGTTCCTTTTGCTGCAACTCTGGTGGGCGTCTGCACGTAACAGACTCTCATGTCGCATCATTTTCCCTCTTACCCACTCCCCTCCCTCCCTCCCATCTCCTCCTTCCCTTATCCCCGGTCCAGCCAGCTGTCGTCGTCCTTCCCTACCAATCCTCTCCGTCACTTTTGTTTCCTACTAGATTCCCTCCTGCAGGTTCGCGCTGGATATCCGCATGCTGTTTCGATCATGTGACCCCTGTGTGCCAGCTCTCTCAGCCAATATCCTGTCGTCTGATCAAACTGGGGCGTCTTCTGATGGTCCTGGCGAGATACCCGGAGGTAAAACCCCCCCCCAGTCGACTCGAATGACGGGATTAGGGATTGTCGCGGTGGGACGCTCTAAATCTTGTCAGACAGGTTCACTTGCTGCAAGCGCTCTACCTGTGGCCCGCCGTCTACTCTGCAGTCGATAGAGAATGTGCTGGGAGTGTGAGAGGGGATGTGTCACTTTCGTCCTTCCTTTCTCCAACTCTTAATTTCTTTTTCTGCTCTCCTTTTTTTTCTTTTTCGAACTTTTTGCGCCTCATTTTATTTTTTTGTGGTCATGATCCTTTAAAAACCTCCCGGCTGTCTGCTGTCACTCTTTGCTTATTCTCTCGTCGATTCCCTGTCCATATAATTAGGGTCAGTCCCTTCCTGCTCTTCTCTTTCTTCCTGAACCTCCGACCTGGCGCATCGTTGTTTGCCATACCCCTCTCGTACCTGGGCTGGTTTCCATGTTGGTGCGAGTGACCATAGCAGCCGACCACGCGGCTGCTTCGCTGTGCGAAAACCATGGAGAGACCTCGAAACATTGAAGACTTGGCAGACGAGTTGATCAGTGATATACTTTCGTACCTTTTGGGTTCAGACAATCTATCTCCCGAGCCCTCCCCGACAACTCCGCATGGCTCGTCTCGCGACTCCGACAATGGCACGGCTCATGCCTTCGGTGAAAAGTCCGAGTTGGATCGATTCAGACTCGTCTGCAGAAGATTCAAGCGCATCGGTACACCCCGGAAATTCACCAGTTTTGTACTCCGGTTTTCATCCGACGAATTCCGAAGATTGGAGGACCTTCTGAACATGCAGCTAGCCTGTCATGTCAGATATTTCACGTACATGGTGCGACCCTTCTACCAAGGAAGCGGTACCGTCTCTGCAGACCCGCCCGGGATGTTGCGCGCATGAAGCTGATGATCATATAGGTTGGTCCCACATCCTGGATGGAGTCGATGTAGATAACCTTCCCGTTTCGTCCATCCACCGGCGTCGGCTCGATGATCAAAAATACATACTCGATTCAAACCTTGATCTCCGTTTATTGCGACGGGCGATAGCAGCTTTTTCTTCCCTACAACAGGTCAAACTCCTCCGGTTGCAAGACGGAGCAGACGAACAATTGCTAGACCACATACGCGAGCGCTCGTTGGGAAGAACAACGCGTCTGGACTGGGAACCCGCCTGCACCAGAGCTGTCACCAGCCTGAGCATCTCGTTACTAGAGTCAAACTGTAACTCAGTGAGGTTTGTCGGGCCGCAGATCAGCCCGGAAGCAACCGTGAGATTGCTGCAAGCTCCATCCACCAGCCTCTCCGCACTGGGCGCACGACTGGCGAGCTTGGATGTCACTTTTCACTCCGCAGCCAAGCTATCCACATACATGGAGACGCTGTCCAACGTCTTCCATGACTTCTTCCTAGCTGCCAAAAATCTCACAACCATTCATTTAGGCTTCCCTACCAATGCGCCACTGGACCTCGCGTTAGAGCAAATTTTCCACCACGTCCAGTGGAAGAGACTCCGGACCCTCAGTATCCAAGGCTGGCGCCTCGGCTCGGAAGAAATCATCGCCTTCATACGTCGGCACAGGCGCCAGCTTCGCAACGTCCGACTAGCCAACGTCTATCTCCGCCCTGGTGGACGATGGCGCGACGTTCTTAGCGTCTTACATGACGAAATGGACCTCCTTGAACGCATAGACCTGCGTGGAATCGACTACACCAGCCATTTCGACGCCAACACCAATGCCCACCACCACGCTGACGCTGCCGGACCCGGTGCCGGCAGTTCTCAAACGCCGACACTTGCCATCGTCGTACAACCCACGCCCGACATGGCCCCGCACAAGGCCTTCCTCAACATGGGCTACTCAAACAGTAGCCCACCAGGAAAAACCCGCCGCTCCTTTTCCGATGCCACGCTTGAACAACTGCGCGGACACACGTCCGACGTATTAGGAGACAATGGAGAGAGCGTAAGCCACGACCAGAGGTTACTGTGGGAAGCATGGGTTTTGTCCAGTCAACGAAGTAATGTCCACAGAAGGGTTTAATGTCATGTCGTTACGAATTTGTTCATTTTGCATATGTTAATTTCAGTTGGTTTCTCTGAAGGGATATGGAAACATTAGTCGCATTCTAGCCGTATATCCGGTTCCTAAGCAAGTATGTATGCCGCGCTCGCTCGTATACTAGTTAACCACAAGAGTCTGAATGAGCAGAAGACCTTACTACAGAGTATTATGGTAGCGTTGTATTCGTAATGATACCACCTGATAAAAAAGAATAGTAAGCATGAAAACGAACATTTACAACCCACAAATACACATGAGTAAGCATTCAAAACACTAGTTAAGAGTTATGCGAAGATAGAATAAATAGAATGTTAGAAAGACACGGGGGAATTATCAATTAACGGGAGGTATACCAAGAAAGGATTGATGGGCTCAAAGATAGAGTTGAATCAAAGGAAGAGAAAAGAAATCTATGTATTGAGTAGATGATAGATAAATAGATAGATAGGTGGAAAGACAAATCATCAACCACCTTGCCTCCCCTTCCTGCAGTAAAAATGGTAGTATGTGGTTGTAGTAAGTGTGACTAGATAGATAGACAAGATGAATAGAAATGACAGAGGATCCCAATGATCAATGCAATATAACACATCATCGTTCATCGTTCATCATTATTCTCCCTTTCCCTCTTCCCCTCTTTCTCCTTCCTGTTCCTTCCCCTACCCGCGACTGAAACTGTACATGAATGTATGTATGTGGCTTTGAGATATCTACGCACCAGGCGGTGGAGCAGCAGCAGCAGTTGCAACATGATCCGCTGCGCCAGCAGGTTTGGTATTGCGTTCCCGGAGGCGACGACCTTCCATGAGACCGCGGAGACCGCGCTTCTGAAGACCGATGACGCTGCTGAGGTCGCCAGTCCAGATCTCGCGTTCGGGACGGAGTTCTGCGTCCGTGTTGCGGCGGTGGTGGGACGGACGGGTGGGGTCGCCGCCCATTTCGGAGTCGGAGTGGTCGAAGCTGGTGTTGGTGGAGGCGGAGGTGGAAATACTGGCATTGCTCATAGAGTCTTCGCGGTCGCGGTCTACGCCGGCGTTGCTGCGGTGCCGGCGGCTGAAGATGTTGGTGTTAATGCGAAGGGGGATGCCGCGTGAGCCCATCACGCCGCTGGCGCTGCTGGCCACGGAGAGGGCGGAGGTGCCGTGTTCGGTGTCGGAGGAATCGGAGGTGAGGTGGCTCTGTGAGGTGGTGGTTCCGGTACCGGAGGAGGATTCGTTGCCGGCGTGGGCACCGTTCAGCGCTTCCAGGGTGCCGCCGGGGCCACTTGTAAAGCCGGTGCCTCGGCCACCGCCGGCGGCCATTGCAGCGGCGTTGAAGACGGCAGCGGCGTTTCTTCCGTCGAGAACTTGGTGGAGGCGCTCGACGGTGGCTTCGAGGAGGCCGTCGACCTGGTAGGGGCGGGCGAGTTGGAGGAGGGAGCAGAGGATTTGCGGAGTACAGAGGGGTGAGCCGGCGGGGGGGAGAGACGAGGTGTAGAAATAGTAGACGAGGACTTGAAGAGTGAGGACGGTATGGGGGAGGTAAAGCACACGAGGACGAGAGGTAGGGGAAAGGCTATGCGCAGAGGGTATCTCAAGGTTCGCTAACAAGGACTTTGAGGTGACTGAGCGGTTGCTGACAAGGGTGCTGGAATTGGAATAATTGCTGTTTTGCCCCAGTGACGGGGTGATTGTGATGCTCGAATTGCGACTGGGATACATGGCAACCGCTGGACGTAATGTTGCAGTCTCGGCGATCCCGCTATCACAGGACTCGCGCAGAAGCTGGATAAAGTAAGGGCCCCATCTGCGAGTCAGGATGCGTGAGTTCACAGGGATGCGCTCGCCTCCAACCGCCTGTAGTTCCATATCGGCCATTTCAGGCAGCGACTGGGCGAGTCTGCCTAGTTCGTCGGACGCGGAGGTAAACGGCCGTCCGCCCGAGGTTAATTTGGTTAATTTGTGCTGCATTGATGCAGGGACTGCCGGGGCGCTGTATGAGATGTACCCCGATGTGGGCGTGGTCCGGCACGCATTGTTGTAGAGCCCAAACGCTTCCAGCTCGACCATGCACACGTGGGAGAAGTTGATGCGACGATGGTTGTAGTCCTCGACCAAGCTGCGCTTCCGGTGACCCAGAATAACAAAGGTGTTCCTTCTCGGCCACAGAATTCCACGGTTCCAGCTGCCATGTCCGAACACAGAGCCGCCGGCATCAATGCGACCCCAGGTGAGGGTTCTCAGGTCGAGGGCCCAGAGCGCGTATTCTTGCTTCGACGAAGTCAGGTAGGTTCCGCTCACGACGAAATGGCCGTTGATGACCCCTCCGTTGGGGAACCTCAAGCCAGGAGGCGACGCCTGGCTCTGCATGGGCTTCTCGATCAGGCGACCATCGGGGAGGCGCACCTGAAGCTCCAGCTTCACATCCAAGAAGTTGTAGTTAGAATAGACCAACATGGGACAGCCCTCGACCTGCGAATCTTCTAATGGCTCCTGCGCCTCACCATCGTCTGCGGCAGACCCGATGTCGGAAACATTCATGCCTACCAAGGGAGCAACCACACTCCGATAGGCACCGCAGCTTCGCCCCAGGTGAGTGGTACTGGTCCACTTCAGGCTACGTAGGTTAAACACGCTAATCTGTTCGATATAGTGGTTGGAGCTATCTTGCCCTCCTACAACCACCATTTCCGCACCTCCAAATCCGTCGATATCCACCCCGATCGATCCCTGGTGCGGATTTGACGACGCGGGGTTGTGGTGAATTGCCGAAAGTGGAGCAGTGGCGGAGGTGAAATGGGCGCTTGAAGGCAAAATGGTCGCGCAGTGTGCATAACGTCCCTGAGGCGAGTCTGTGGCAGGAACACGGGTCCACGTCCGAGATGGTACATCGAAAATGTGAATATCAGACATGACCACCACTTCTGGCTGTGCTTCCTGTCCACCTGAGCCATTACTGGCGGGCTCCTTTGACACGTTCAGTGCAGGCGACATGCCGCCATAGCACACCAACTTATGATCACCCAGAGCGCAGACACTGTGGAAGTACCGCGGACGGGGGATGTCGCCGGTGGTCTCAATCTTCGTCCAGTGACGCCGGATCAAGTCCAGCTCGTATATGTCCGACGTCAATTGCGGGCGACTTTTAGACAGGACACGACCACCGAACACGTAAAGCTTATCGCCCAGGATAGTCGTGGTGGCCCCGACCAACGGATGCGGTTCCCTGCCTGTTGTTCGGCGCACATTGCACACCAAACCTGACAGGTTGATGGGACCCGAGTTGGACGGTGGCGCTTGATGTCCAGGTTGAGCGCCTGACGCAGAGGCATCATCCCTCCCCGCGTCCATGAAGCCCAAGCTCGACTGGCTTCTGGACATCATCTTGGCGGTAAATGAATCCTCCACCTAAACAATTCCACAGAAACCAACTATCGTCCTTCCAATCGTGCGCCCAAGCGAGCTCTCATAAAACCCACTTTGTCCGGGTATCCAAAAATCCAAAGAGGTGTCTTTCCAAAATCACGACAGTTTCCAACCCTCGAATGACTTATCTCTGGTATGGCGCTAGAGGGATCTCGATTCGACAGAGTATCATCACACCCAGATATCACGACTAGGCACGGATTTGGACAAGTGAAGCCGCACGGGCACGATAGGAGAGCGAAACGAAAGGGTTTGGGGCGATCTTCGAGGTCTAAATCGGACTGGGGTAGTGCGACCAGATCAGGGGGCGGGCGGAAAAGGCGAAATCCGTCAGAGGCACTCGCTGGCTTTCCCCGCCGCTGCCGCAACCTGGACGAGGGGAAGAGGCAAGGAGGTGGGACCAAGAGGCTCTTGACTCGAAGGATGGGAATTGCTGCAAGGGATGAACCACCGATCACGTCACTGAAGAAGCCCGATCGAGGAAACACGATTGAGGGAAAGGAGAAAGACGGGGGTTGGTGGAAGTGAAGTGCGGGTTCAAGGCGGTCTCGCTACCTTGTCACTAGTTGGAGGTTACCCGTTAAACGGTCCAGGCACTACTGGGTCAGATCACAGTGGAGAACAGTGTCTAAAAGGGAGAGGGTTAGAGGGTTTGCAGAATATGCAACCCAACCCTGGGAAAGTCAATTCCTCTGACAGGTCAAACTCAAAAGTGGAAGGGAGGGGAGAGGGGGGCGAACCTGTTTCAGAGTTGAGGTATCAGCACCTTTTGAGGAAAGAACCATGATGTCAAACCAGAACGGGAAGGAAGTTCCTCTCACCAGTTTGAATTGTTATTTATAGCACACTTGGAGGTCCGTCACGATAGCACCGCCAGCGTTCAAATACTCGTCGCACTCTTCTGGCCAGGTACTAGTCGAATATCAGGCATATAATACAGCTTTGATTCTCGGAGTTGAATATCCTGTGTTTGGCAGGCAAAATCTATCGACGACTAAGGACACCACGACGCACCTCCTTTTGAAGTACAGTCTTACGGTCCCTGTGATCGATCCAGAGCCTCGGTCCCATGACAGTGTGAACATTGACCAGAAAAATTGGTAAAACAACTAGTTAGTGGGTTGGGAGGAAGAGGAGTAAGCACGAAAATCTGACAGTCTGAAACCTGCATGCCATTGTGTATGAACCAAAAATGTTATGAGGCTCAGCGACTGTCGAATGATTGATCATCGTACACAGTCAGATAACTCATATTTGCTCCTTGTATGCTCACATCCTATTTAGCAGTATATTTTCCCTATTATGCATTCTCGGGGTGTTTACGGGCTTTCATTCGAGGCACGGCACCGGCAACGCATTCTGCCCTTCTGCTGGCCTTTCAGCCGTTCGCGACCAGGGTCATCATGCAGGACGGGACTTCAGCTCCATATCGCCACTCGAACGGGGCCAGACTACTGTTGATCATGCTACCAGTCGCCGTGTGTGGACAGCGAAAGGATCCTCTAAGGTGCGCCATGCAGGAACCAAAGCACCGCGGACACGGTTCCTGCGTGGAGGCCCCCAACATGCAGGAGCTTTATGCGATACAGTTATTTCTTAGCCAAGGCGAACCCTGCCCGTCTTGGGGATATAATTTGGAGATCGTTAATCGATTTGTTTGTCATGAGGTATCAAACTATTACACATCATAGCCATAACTTTCATACCGCGTTCCCTCTACCAACCCCGTCACAACATGTTTTAGTTATCATGATCGGTACGCCACCCATCTGTATGAGATTGAGTTGACGAGGATCGGCGGGACATTGTCATATTCTGCCTTGATTTACTCCTTCTTGAGGGAGGTGAAGCGAAGGTAACTAGTCCATCGCGTTAGCGACCGTAACATCTCTTTAAGCGGGTGTATTGGACAACTTACGGCTTGACAATGCGGATGTCACCGAACTTCTTCTGAGCGTCCTCAGTGGAGACGGGAGGGGGGATGACAACGTCGTCACCAGGGAGCCAGTTGATGGGGCAGGTGACACCGTGCTTGTCAGTGGTCTGCAGAGCGTCGACAACACGGAGGACCTCAGCGGTGTTACGACCAGTGGAGGCGGGGTAGGACATGATCAGACGGATCTTCTTGCTGGGGTCGATAATGAAGACGGAACGGATGGTGAGAGCCATGCCTGGAATATGTTAGCAGCGTCCTCACGGCGTCACTCTAGGAGTATGAATGGCTCACCCTTGGCGTCAACGTTGGTGGTGTCCTGGTAGTCGACCATGTCGTACAGGTAGGCAACCTTGCGCTCGGGGTCGGAGATGATGGGGAACTTGAGGTTCGAGCCGTTGACCTCATCGATATCCTTGATCCAGGCGTGGTGGGACTCAGTGCCGTTGGCGCTCAGACCGATGAGCTTGACGCCACGAGCAGTGAACTCGGGCTCGAGCTTGGCGAAAGCACCGAGCTCAGTGGTGCAAATGGGAGTGAAGTCATCCTATGCCAATTGCAGAATTGTTAGCTCAGCTGTATCTTGGCTTCATCATGGTATCCAGAACGGTGCAGGGAGAGAACTAACGGGGTGGGAGAACAGGATAGCCCAGCTGTCGCCAATGAAGTCGTGGAAAGAGATAGGGCCGTTGGAGGAGTCGGCCTCGAAGTTGGGGGCAACGGAGCCGAGACGGAGACTGTGAGAAGGTGGCATGTCAGAATTGGCCCGAGTGAGGGGATACAGTCACATCGTGTTGGATAGCACTTACGGAGCACGTTCCTGGGCCATTGTGAAAGTGAGGGGAGGTGTAGAGGGGTGGGTATGAACTTTTTGATTAGATAGGTAAGGAAAGAAAGATGAGTAGGAAGCAGGAGAAGATGAATGCAACGGAGGAAGTTGGGAGTTCTAAATATACCCCCGATGAGGCCCGAGGTCGGGGAACCAGGAGACGAGGAGCCCGTGAATGGAACGGGGATGGAGCTACGAGGCAGAGGGGGGAGACCATCCACATTGAACCAGAACCACAGCTTGGATGCCCCTCCAACGAATGACAGCCGCTGGGAGGGCGATCTTGATCACGCAATCTGCCACCGCCCAGGGGGCAGAACAGCTCTGATTGGACCCACATGAGCTCATTCCAGGTGGGATGTTTAGCGTCATCCGCATTGGGAAATGCCCCTCCCCCGTCCGGGATGTTTTTGGGGAGATTCAACCAGAATCCCATGGCGAGATTGGACTCCCCAGGGCACGAACCATCGACCTTAACTCATGTACCGTCCTCTAGTCCCGGCATTGTTCCCAAACTATAGTAGGAGGAGAGGAACCGTGCGAGGCCAATCCTCTTGTTCATCCTCCTCTTCTAATCTTCTTCTATAGATAGTTTCTGTTAATACTACTTACTATCTCTATCATCGTCCAAATCAATGTCATGACTACTACCACACACTGGCTGCTGCGTGCCCAACTCTGTTTGTTCGTCTCTGCCGCTTTCTAGCGTTACAACCCTCTTCTCACCCGAGAGCTGTCGGCCGACTACCTTGCAAGAAAAAGGCTCGGCCGACAATCGTGTTCGCTTGGGGCCAATGGTGGTGTTGAATGATGGCGCAATTGTGCGTGTCGTCTTACCCATCCTCCTGGCGACTACTTGATCAACTACAGCCTACACACTACCATTACAGTAAGTGATGCCCGAGCCAAGGGGCGCCATCATGAGAAGAAAAGAGTTTTGCCCATAGCGCCGCATACATAATCACTAGAATCACCCGGAGCAGTTTATTTGGGAGCTTACCAAGATCGAACTACCAGCACTCACCCCTGTGCGAAGTTTTGGCGACGGAAACCCAGGTGCCCAACTTATTACTGACCCCGAAGCTAGAAAGGGAAAAACAATGTCATGACTCAACCGTTTAACGCTATCACGGAGTCTGGAATTGCGAGTGACTGTTATCTGATACTTGAATTTTTATTCCAACAAGAGAAAGACTTCTTATGGCTTGGGTGTGGAGGGCCTTCCCTACAGTCATTGCCGGGATGGCATGCTCACTGTGTACACTAAGTATCCGTTCGGAGGCATTTGCGACCAAATCTGCAGGGCTGAATCAGTGACAATGGCGCAATTTCCTACCGAATACCATCAGTTTTCTCCTTCGACCAAAAGTCATCATTTTTTTCCTGGTCGGGTACCAATTCGCTTACAATCTCCATATAACGGTCAACATATCGCGCAAGTCTGGCAAATAGTTCCCCTCTCTCAAAACATGCCAATGGCTCTCCACCCACATATGACCTTTTGATCCTGATATGTTCTTTAAAGAGATCGAGCAGCGATATCTGGCCAAATGGTAGCTTTGCGCGACGCTAAGTTTCCTCAAAGTGTACTCTCCGCATTGAAATCACTTCTGGAGCTTGCAGGACAGTTCACGACGACTCCCCTCATAAGAAGGTGAGGGTGTCCGATGACAGGGAGAAAGTTTCTCTTGGAGTCACTACGAACCGGATATTATCTTTGAATTATGGGAGATACTTTCTGCCTTCCGCCGATCGAAGCAACATGAGACAGGTACCTGCTCCTAGTCCTTGCAAAACCGAGAGATTAGTATAGAGTGGATGGAGTACACTATGAGAGAATCCATCAACTTGGAAATTGAAATCTCTTTGAACCTATCTGTTGACCAGCTTATCAAATCGACAGAACACTACTAGAGAATCAAGGTATCCTGACTCCTGATTATGGGAGTTTCCGAGATTACTAGCCAATCATGGCGTTGAACACGCATATAAAATGCCTTCAGCCTAGCGGGGGCTGTATATTTGGGCACTAGCGAATTATTATTGAGATAGTGCCAAATAGTTGGTGTTGTAGCTGGTAGTACAGATTGAAAGTTAAGCAAAATCATGGTCATGAGTGGCCTACAACCATACAGTGATTTGGTATTGACGGCACGAGCTTGCCTGTAGTCGGGTGCATCGTTCCAACTGGCCGGGTAGCACAATTCCATCAAACTATGACAGGGGGATATGCTGCGTGCAGTTTTATTCTCCTGCCTGTTCCTGCGCCTACGGAGTTAATAATCATCAGTTTATAGTTTTGGGGTACCTGAATCTCCGCGAGCACAGCCACGTGACCCCAGCGGAGCGCCTAAGGGGGCTCCACCGCGCGTCCCGAGAAGCTCGACCCGTCCACTCGTCCGCAACCAGAGCTTCACCCATCGCGGTCCTGTTATGATTCTTGCCCAGTGCGTGCCTAGAACCGCGTCCTGTCGTGTCTAATCGTTCCCTTCGACTGTCGGAACAGACAGCTGGTCCGTACCTTGGTTAGTCTCCGTTGCTAACCTTTGCAAACACCCATTTCCGCATCGGTTCCTTCATAAGCTTTCCTATACTGGATTGACTGACTGGCTGGCTTTCACACTTCTAGGCGCGTCTGGATCCTCGTGTCCCAAGTCCCCCAGCGCTTCCCCGCTGGCTGGCTCCTGACTGGCTGATTTCTTTGTTGTCTTCATCTGCTCTTGTCCTTTTCTGACCGTCCATTCGATCTTTGTTCCGTCTCTCTCTTCCCTCCCCCCCAAAACTCCCGTGGATCTTATCGCACAGATAAACATCCCCCCATCAACCTACCAACCAAACATGGCACCCCAAAGGAAACGCAAGTCGGAGAGCGCGTCAATCGCCGAGGAAGCCGAGTCCCCTGCTGCGAAGAGAGTGGTAAGCCTTTGCCTATCTACAAGTTCATTCATACTACCCACGAGGTAGCGCGTCCTTCTACCAGACCAGTCGGCCCGTCCAATACGCGATCGCCGCCCACTGGCTAATCACGGTGTCATTCGCTCCCCTTCCCCAATGATTGGAAGCGTCGATGTTACATCCAATATGCACGAACAAACGATTATGTTTTCCAGAGTTTCATGTTCAGACAAAACTAATCATTCTTCGTTTTTCACATAGGCCGCGCCCGACACACCGGCTACCGGCGAAAAGAGAAAGAGGGGCCGTCCCAGGAAGTATCCTGAGGGTAGTACTCCCAAGCGCCCTGACGGCCCCAAAAGAGGCCGTGGCCGTCCTCGTAAAGATCCGAATGCCCGTCAGTTCCCTCCTTGCGTCCCATATCTCTGATGCTTTTACGGACAAACCCCATACCGTTCCTCTTGTCATTCCATTCTTTTATAGATGATGCGTTCGGTATGATTTTTTCTACGGAAATTGCTGACATACACTAGCTACTCCCTCAAAGTCTACCACCCCCAAGCAAGGCAAACGGGGCAGGCCAAGGAAGACCCCGGTCGAAAATGGAACCGAACCTACCCCATCAACAACGAAAACAGAGACGGTCGATACCACACCCTTCGAAGGGCGCTCATACTGGTTGATGAAGGCCGAGCCGGATTCGCGACTGGAGAAAGGTGTTGATGTAAAATTCTCCATTGATGACTTGGCTGCCCGTAAGGAGCCGGAGCCATGGGACGGTACGTTTCCATCATAGGGCTTTGGATGATTGATTTGTCTGCTGATCACCCAGTAGGTGTGCGTAACCCTGTTGGTAAGTGAAGCCATTGGCAGTAGCAAGCTAGCCTTCTGGCTCACAAGCGAAACAGCACAAAAACATATCCGCGACATGAAGAAGGGTGATCTCGCCTTCTTCTACCACTCCAACTGCAAGGTCCCAGGCATTGCAGGTATCATGGAGATTGTCAAGGAGCATTCACCGGATGGTTAGTCTTAACACATTAGCCCTTACTGGACAAGACAGGGTCAGCTAACCCATGGCGTTCGCATTTAGAGTCGGCCTTTGATCCCGCCCACCCATACTACGACGAGAAGTCGAACCGAGACGATCCCAAGTGGCAGGTTGTCCACGTTGAGTTCCGGCGCAAATTCAACAAAATGATTACGTTGAACGATCTCAAATCATATGCACAGTCCGTACGGGCTCTTGAAAACATGCAGGTTCTGAAGCAGTCCCGGCTGAGTGTGACGCCAGTAAGCGTCACAGAATGGGCGTTTATCATGGGGGTAGCGGAGGAAAACGAGGCCAAGGCAAACGCCGAAGCTTCCAAAGATGACAGCGCCGAGGGCGAGGAGCCTGAATCAAGCGAGTAAAGGATAAAGGGATTTCATTTTGTTGTCGGGCTTTTGGGATGATCAACTTACTCTTGTGGGAATTCGACACGCGCATTTACTTTATGTACAATCAAGGGATTTTTTTCTTTCGGTGCAGCTGATGATGCGGTCGATCACGTAGCAGGCGGGTTATACCCGGCAGTTTCTGGGATGGCTGCATGGCCCTGACTGGCGATGCTTTCTATTTATGTTGCCACTAGTTGACGCGTTATAGGCCTTGTAGACTAGCAGATCCCCCAGCGAGAAGCGCCGATACCTTCTAGACCGGTAAAGAACATGGGTGGCTGTTGAGACGATAATAAGTTTGTGATTCTTGACGAATCTCTGTTCTGCGACAGATCAAAAATCATCTATCACTGGTGGCGGCAGAAACCCCTCCCAAAGCTTCCGAGGGTTAGCGAAGAATGCAATCAATTATGGAGCAATCGGAGAAGCGATGGGTTGTGGCGAGGTCTTGGAGAAAGCGATTATAATGGAAGACCCGGAAGAATCATGATTGGAGATGGGAAAGACGCAAGCTGCATGCACACGAGGAGGGGAGAGCAGGTGGTCCAGCTGGATGGGGGAAAGAAGTGCGGAGGAGCTGCAGAATCAAGCTTATCACGCTGAGATGATTAGTTTATTGCGCCGGTGGAGATGCTGACCCAGAGATTGGGACACCGGCGAAAGGATGGCATCGAGAAGAGTAAGTGTATGCGAAGAGGGGCTGCCCGAGGCACCGCCGCCTCTCCCATTCGCTCTTCCATCCTTCGCTGGCGGGGATGCTTCATCCGGCTTCCCTTCAACCACTAATCACCCTCAACCCTCTCTCTCCTTTCAGCTTCGTCCATACATAAAATCTCCCCCTCGATGCCCTTCTCCTCTTTCCCCGCTCCCTTTCGTTGTCTTTCCTTCTCCTCTCTGCGGCTGCGTGCTGTGCCTTCTTCTCGTCTGCCAGTCGTTGCCTTCTCCCCTCATCGCCATCACTTCCATAGCTCTTCCATCACTATGAGCGATCTGTCCGTACAATTGACAGCCCCGAATGGGCGTACATACGCTCAGCCGGTTGGTCTGTTCATTAACAATGAGTTTGTCGCTTCCAAGTCCGGGGAGAAGTTCGCTACTATCAACCCTTCGTACGTGAATCCTGTCCGAGTACTATCTGTCATGGATCTGCTGCTGACCAATACTAGCAATGAAGCGGAAATCACTTCCGTCTATGCTGCGGGTGAAGAAGATGTGGACATTGCTGTGAAGGCTGCCCGGCAAGCCCTCAACCACCCCTCATGGAAGTTGTTGCCTCCGACTGAACGGGGCACCCTGATGCTGAAGCTGGCCGATCTGGTCGAGCAGCACAAGGAGACGCTGGCTACTATTGAGACGTGGGACAATGGTAAAGAGCTTCACATTGTTCCCCAAAGACTGTCATCATGTACTGACTCCCCTCAGGAAAGCCATACTCGGTTTCGCTGAACGATGACCTGGGAGAGGTTGTCGGCTGTCTCCGGTATTATGCTGGATACGCCGACAAGGTCCATGGTCAGACGATTAGCACCACTCCGGCTAAGTTCGCCTATACTCTCCGTCAGCCAATTGGTGTCGTAGGCCAGATTATCCCCTGGAACTTCCCTCTCGCTATGGCTGCCTGGAAGTTGGGTCCTGCCTTGGCCTGTGGAAACACCGTGGTTCTGAAGCCGGCTGAGCAGACTCCGCTCAGTGTTCTCTATCTGGCCAACCTCATCAAGGAGGCCGGTTTCCCGCCAGGTGTTGTCAACATCTTGAACGGCTTTGGACGCGTAGCCGGAAGTGCGCTCGTGACCCACCCCGGGGTGGACAAGGTTGCCTTCACTGGTTCGACGTTGACTGGCCGCGAAGTCATGAAGTTGGCTGCAGGCACCCTGAAGAACATTACGCTCGAGACAGGTGGCAAGTCGCCCCTGGTTGTCTTCAGCGATGCCGATCTCGATCAGGCCGCCAAGTGGGCGCATGCGGGCATCATGTACAACCAAGGACAAGTTTGCACCGCCACCTCTCGTATCCTGGTGCACGAGTCCGTCTATGACAAGTTCGTGGCCCTCTTCAAGGAAGCCGTGGCCAACACCAGCAAGGTGGGCGACCCCTTTGCCGACGACACCTTCCAGGGTCCCCAGGTCACCAAGGCCCAGTACGACCGCGTGCTCTCTTATATCGAAGCTGGCAAGTCCGAAGGAGCCACCCTGGTGGCCGGTGGCGAGCCGTTCAAGAACGTCGGTGACGGCAAGGGTTTCTTCATTGCGCCCACCATCTTCACCGACGTCAAGGACAACATGCGCATCTACCGGGAGGAGGTTTTCGGACCGTTTGTTGTGATCTCCAGCTTCTCGGAGGAGGACGAGGCTGTCAGACGGGCCAACGATACGACCTATGGACTGGGTGCTGCCCTGTTCACCAAGGACATTGAGCGTGCGCACCGGGTTGCGTCGGAGATCGAAGCGGGCATGGTCTGGATCAACAGCAGCAACGACAGCGATATCCGGGTGCCTTTCGGTGGTGTGAAGCAGAGTGGAATTGGGCGCGAACTTGGCGAGGCCGGTCTGGAGGCCTACTCACAGGTCAAAGCGGTCCATGTCAACCTGGGAACGAAGCTGTAGGCGAGCACAGTTTGTGCAGATGATGGCGAATGAATTGCAACCGTGATCTGTGGGACGAGCCTGGTAGGACGAACACATACACATGCATCCGAAGGACCGTTGTGTTGATGGCGCTGCATGAAGGGAAAGAGAGATGCTATGTGTCTCTGCGACATTGGCTGCATGTCGTGTACCCGATGACTGACATAAAGTTGGTGTGTTGTTGCCAACTTGACTATACCCTGACTGACGATGAAAAGAAAAAAATGTATTATAATTCAGCCATGTCAACTGGCAAGCAGGCTGTGAATCTAAGCCTGGGTGATCTTTCACATTCCACCGTAAGCCGTGATGTAGCACCCAACCCGCCACAAACAAACCCTTTTAGCCTAAAAACAAGCCCAAATGTTACACATCCAGATACCAGATCTCACAACATATATACCTAGGACAGAGTACTCGCTTACCTGTCTCCACACAATTCAATGAACCCACATCCACACCCATCCACATTGGCATGGACATGCATGTCCATTCATCTGCACATCAATAAACACCATGCACATCACCTAAACAATCCAAGCCCCTACCAAACCCAACCATTTCAATCTCACTCCCTCAGTCAATCAGAAAACCAAGACAAACAAAAAAGGCCACCCAACAGTCACGATTTAAATCCGGTTTCAAACCCATACATACATACCTTGCAATCAATCAGTCAAACCCAACAACTTAAGTTACTTTCTCCCCCGCGCCAAGCCCAAACACTCTAAATGCAAAGCATGAGTACCTGATCTGACTTACCATATTTATACTTCGCTTTCCTTTCCTTGCTTACTTGCTTGCTTATGCTATTACAGGATATAATGGGAACTCCAAACCGATTGGACAAGAACTGGAGTTACTTACATGTACGCAGTAGAGTTGGTTTGCTTGCTTGCTTGCTTGCTTGTAAGTGTTGTTAGGGAAGCAAGGGGGTTAGATTCTACATGGGGTAGATGGATGGTTTTCTTGGCTGCTGAGAGTTTTTCTTACTTGCATATACTTTCTCTATTGTAGGAGAGTTGGTACTGTAAGTACTGCTTGCTGTAGAGTGTGTGATTTGTAGTGTGTATGTAGGTGGTATGTGGTATGTAAGTGACAACTCAGTGCTTCGTGCAGGGTGCATGTACATGTACATGTGGTGGTAGTCGTAGACATGATCATAAGTAATTGATTATTTGATATATATAATATAATGAAGATATCAAGTATGAATTGCGATGTGGTAAGTAGCAAGAAGAGAAAGTGGGAATAGGAGTGGGAGTGACATACATGCTTAATATGAAATGTGGTATGTGCGTTTTTTCCATCTGCATGTCGGTAGATATCCCCCATCCCATCCCATCCCATCCCATCCCTTAACTTACTTGCATTGCATGTGTGCAGGGTTAGTAGAATTTTTGTGACTGATATCCCTCTAATATTCATCATATTACTAGTTGGTATTAGAAATGGATTACTACTTACCGAAATATTGAGGTGAAGTAGGTGAGTTACTATTTAGAGTAGGTAGTACTACCTCCATATATATATATTTACTTCAAACAGTCATGTTACTCTAATTAAAAAATGGATATAATGCTATTATGATATCAATGTAGGTTGCATCTACCTGCAAGATTGTATCCTACTACAGATCATGACTCTATCCATCATCATCATCCCAACCAGAAGTTCATATATGAACCCGCCACTAACTACATCCGGAAACACAATCCTCGCTTCGAACTTCTCTATCTATCTACCATTTACTTGTATCTGCCTCACATCCTGCAGTGCATACTGCACTTTTCATGACGCACAGGATTATATCCAAGACACTGCAGTCAAGCAAAGTAAACAGAATTGTATCCAAACGAAGACTAGAATAAGAGTATTGAAGTTGAAAGATATCTTCCGATGAGAAATTTAGAAATTGTATTCCAAGTATGCATGTATCGTTTCTCTTCGAATAGATGTATGCAGTTTACTTTGGGATCACTTTCAATAGGGTTTGTTTACTGCACTGTGTGTGTGTGTGTGTGTGTGTGTGTGTGTGCGTGTTTGTGTGTTGCATCGAAAATACTTAATTACATACTTACATACATATATGTAGGTATGTATGTGTGTTTGCGTGGTTGATTGATAGATTGAATGTTTGTATGTTGGGAGTTGAAGAATGAAGTTAACTAACACTGCTTATTGGGCTTAGTTACTAGGCTAGGTAGTTATTGCGGGTAGATACATGCTAGACATCAAGCAAACTGATAACTGCTTGATACTAAGATGCTAGGAGCCACTATTAGGTTTATATTAAGCCTCGGTAGGTCATAATTGCTGACAGATATATACCCACCAGCAACATGGATCATTCATAATCCAAGCAAGTATCATAGTGTAGTATCATCATATCAAGTTAATTAAACTCAAACAGTTAACTTCATGTTTGTTTAACCTACACATACTTTCATTACATACTACTTACTACCTCAGGATAGAACATGGTCCTACCACTTACCAACTTAGTAAGTATTACACTTCCCTCCCAGCAACTACTCCCACCGACACTAATGCCAACACACAGCAAGCACCACCCCCAACCTAATGCAAGAAATACCCAAAAAAGCCACATACATAAAGCCAATACCCAATGAGCATCAGCCAAGCGTCAAATATTTGTCGAATTCACGTGTCCGTGCATCGCCATTGGTAGGAAAGGAGGGAGGGGAAGGGCAATGTGCAGGCTGGTTAGGTACCTACCAGGTTAACTAGCAGTAGAGGAGATAGGCAGAAGGATGGACGGAGGATTTGGTTTTTGGCTGGCTGGGCTGGGGGGCTAGCTAGCTGCATTGCGAACGTAGAGCCATGTGTCGTGACTGTCGTGGCGGGTTGCGACTGGGACTGGAACTGGGGTCGGGGCTTACAGGAGTTACTTTACTCTAACTAGTAGGTGGTTAGCTAGGTTGGAGCATGCTGGGCATGGGTTTGCCGGAGTTGCTGGCTCCGGGGAGAAGGAAGAGAGTGTGTGAGAGAGGATGAGGGGGTCTTAGCTGGCTGATCAGGGTTGATCCTGTCTGTCTTCCCAGTCGCCACACATGACATGGGATTGCTCAGACACTTGCGTATACAGTCTCTCTCCTACTCTTTCCTTCCCCCTCTTTGTCAAGAGGATACAGTGCTCGACATGGATTCTCCTACTTGATAGTCAACAACTTTCCTGCTGGGTAATGGAAATACCATACTTACCGTAAGCCGACACCCAAACATACCGTACATACATACATACATACATACATACCATACCGCAGGGCCCCGTACCTGCACCCGCCATGTAAAGTTACATTGTCGTGCATGAAGAATCGATCATGTGAGGGCTGCCTAGGCCTCGCGCCGTGCGGCCCCATCGCTGCTCCTCGCCGCCTGCAATCGCACCGCGCGCGGAGAGAACTAAATCTGGACACACTTGCATACATAAGTACATCCATCTTCAATCTCAACATGCCATGCGGCATCACACCCCCCTCCTTCCTCCTTTCATCCTTCCCCTCTCTTCAATGTGACCACTCACTTTGCAACGGTCGGGGATATCCCCCTCTTCCCCCCCAAAGCCCGCGCGCCGCCGGCTCTTTGCCCACAGCCTACTACCCACCTAAACCTATACCCACTGGCTAGAGTCTTCCAGCTACCGATATGACCGACATGACACGCCGCATCCAGTCTGCTGCCGTACACCGCATTTTTCGCGGACACATTGCTGGTTTGAGTGATCCACCGAACACTGGCTCGAAATATCGGTCGTGTTTGCCTCCTGCAGGTACTGTCTGCCCGCCCAACTGATGCATCACCGTTGAGCTGGTCGAATGCTTTCTTCCCCCCGCCTGGCTACGCTGGATGACCTATTAAGGTTGTGTGGCCGACTCCGTTCGTTCGTATATCTGCACCGTCGATGGCCCAATGTTGGGCCGTCCGACCGTCAATCAATGCAGCGTCGCGGATTGTGGCCAACGCCCCCCATCAACCGACCGTGACTTTATCACCCTCTTTTACTTCTTTCGTACATGATTAGCACTATGACGACGATCACCCCAGATAGACGGAGATCAAGGTCACTTCCGTCGTTAAGTTGCCGGCGTGTAGTCTCGCTCATCAATAGCCATGTTGCTAGACCGCCTGGATGGGGGCAGTCACAAAGTCTCAGTCTGTGCTGCAACTCTCTCACTAGGTCAGCTAGAGTAACCCGGTCTAGCCAGCAAAAGCAACGTAAGTCTGCCAAACCATAGGCGAGGATCCTGCCTAGCGTTGGCGCAGTCCCGAAGGAATCGCAATCTAGGAATACTGTAGCTGCTCCTTTACTATCCATCTCTCTGACTCGTTTTTTGCTTTTTTTGGGTCTCCCTTTTTCTTTTGCTTTCTTTTTTTCACTTAATGTCCTTTTTTTTTTCTTGGCACGACACACATTGTAGAATGTAACTAGTCGCGACCTTTGGACAAGGTAGGTATACTACCAGTAAGATCCAAATTTTAGGAATATTGGGTGGTCAGTGCAGGGGAGCTGTCGTTTGTAACGGCTGTAAGTCAGAAGGCTGGCCTCCAACTGGTAGGGAAATCTTCCACATCATTCCGAAATTTGGGACCCTGGGCGGATATGCCGTGTCTGCATCCAAGGAACGCTTTTAGATCCGGGACTCACATTGCTTGATCCTGCTCTGTCGCGCAGCTTGCTTTAAGCCCTAAACTAAACCGCTACTGGCTGTCGCCATATTTTCCAGACTGCCACAATGCTCCAAGGAGAGGTCTCCCCGGGTGCATTCCTATTTGTCCGTAACATCGCCCCGTATGTGATTTTGCTCCACCGCGACCCTTGTCTGGAACAAATGAGGCGGAACACGGGAAGCCTGCCGCACCCTGTCACTGACAGCACCAAGGCTGGCTGGCGTCATGGTGAGACTCCATTCAATTAGCCCGATCAAACGCATTCGCCGGTGGGTACCTGGCTTCCTCTTCCTTCTCGTCTTTGCTTTTCCTGGGCATTCATTCGATAAGTTTTCCCACGTTTGCTGTGACGAAACTGTTGGTCCAGATAGCTGATACCAATTCACATGACAGGTGATAGTCAGCTCCATTGGGTGGAGTCGCGCCTGGATGGTGGGTTTCAATAATCGTATCCACCAAAATCCCGGCGGTCTCAATAGTGAAAATGCCATCGAGCCGGGTGTTTGGACCTTTGGAGTACTTTCCTGAGCCGTGAGAGACACGAACCTCCGATGAGACACTATGTCTATTTATTGGCACGACGAGCAGGAGGCCGAGTTTCAGCTGAAACCGACGCGTCCAGACTTGATTAGCACCCGTGGCACCTGGATTGGGCTACCCACCGGTGAAAGTACCGACTAACTTGACACGGAGCAGTGACCCGATGGGCAGTGCCAGACTGCCAGACTGCCTGTGCTGGTACGTAGATAGTACTCCGTAGACTAGCACCGTCGCACACAGAAGCCAGCTAGCCCCACTAGCCATGAGCTCCCTAACGCTAAGGTGAGAAGAACCAGAAAAGTGTTCGATGAGGTTCGTGCGGGGGCGACTGGCGACTGGGCTTGGCAACCGAGGACAATCCCGAAAAGCTGCCCATGAGACTTCGACTATCGATTCTCTCTTTCGGGCTGGATTCCTCAGCACTCACACAACGGTTCCATTTTCCAGCAATCGTCTGGTTTTAGCCGCCGCGAAAATTCCTTAAACTGACTAGGGGGTCTCGACCCAGCCGAGTCCACGGTTGCTCCCGATCTGAACCCCATATCTGAACCACCGTTTCTGAGGATTGCACATCAGCCTGCCATCGAAATGTCCGGCTTCCAGTACCAAAAGTGGACGGTCTCTGAGGTATGGTATCTCACGTTTATTTTTGAATGAAGGCGACCGGCCCAAGGAGGTAAGAACTAGGAGGCTGATCCTCACACTGGTTTCTGTATGCAGCCGTATGTCGATGTACCAGGAACCTTATTGGAAGGACCGTTTCACGACAAGACCAGAAATGAGTTTCGCTTTGTCGATATCTGGGAGCAGAAACTATACGTTCTGGACCTGGCCAAAGGCCCCGACTCCCTGAAGATCATGGACACATCTGCGTCAATCGGGTATGTCGCTCCTAGCTAAACTCCTTGGCCCACAGGATAATTACACCGTAAGCGGTGCCCAAAAAGACACTAATATCATACTCCGAACTCTTGTAGAGTAACCGCCAACATTGCGAATGCTGGGGATACACGCGAAAATCAGATCGTCGTAGCCGCAAAACATGGATTCGCCCTGGTTGACCGCACCACGGGCGCACTGTCCTATATTCAGAAAGTGTGGGACGATCCGGCCAAGGAGCATAGGTAAGTCAATAATCCAGTTTCCTTGCCATCCTCCTCGTGGGGTCTGACTCATCGGGAACGTCATCAAAACAGAATGCGTTTCAACGATGGGGCCGTCGACAGCCACGGCCGCTTCTGGGCTGGAGCCATGAACGATCCTAAGGTGCAGAACCCAGTCAACGAAGGTGTGATATTCAGGTTAGACCCGGACATGAAACTGCACCGCATGGTTGAACAGGTGACGATTCCCAACGGGATTGGCTGGAATCCTGCGGATGACACTATGTACCTGACCGACTCTCCCACCGGCAAGATTTACGCCTTTGATTTCGATGCTGGGACCGGAAACATCAGCAACCGAAGGGTATTCTTTGACATTGGGGAGCCAAAGGAGCCAGATGGATTTGCCATCGATGAGGAGGGGTGTATATGGAGTGCTATCTACGGTGGTGGAAAGGTGATTCGTATCTCGCCGGAGGGCAAGGTCATTGGCGAGATAACTTTTCCCACGCGAAACATTACCTGTCCAGTTTTTGTGGGAACGGAGCTCTTCATCACGACTGCCAAGGATGATACCAATGATGACCAGCTTCCGGAATCCGTCCGGTATGGAGGTCGGCTCTATAGAGTCGATGTCGGCATCAAGGGTAAGCCTAAGAACGAGTTTCGACTTGAAGGCTGCCCACAATAGGTAGTACTCGATAGACTAGCGCAATTAGTTGACTGCTAAAGATAAGCCGATCTGACCGCTTGTCGAACTATCACCTTGAAAGGAATCGCCAGTTGGAGCCTCTGGACCGGAGCCGTATACTCTGTGTGCCCATGTAGAGAGATCAACATAGTCGTGAAAATGAGTATTTGAGACACTGTTCGAGCCAAAATGTCATGTCTGCCCAGAAGAAAATGATGAGTCTGTTAGCCACAGGATTCCCACAGAGCTGAGGTGGAGCAATCAGGTACTTCTTGTTACAGTACAGGGTATGTTGTGAAACATAGCTGCATCGTTGTTACATGTTGTGATAGACATGCTGGAGGTCAGGATTGAAAGTATATTGGCAGCAGCAGATACGTATCCTTGCAGTTATCGTTCTTTCCGATGAAGAAGGATGAAAGGCTGCCTTGGCCGTGTCGGAACCGGAGGATAAGTGAGAGGTCCGCGGATCGACGAACGGTGGGTGCAGAGGAGTTGGCACTGGGACTTTTGGGAACCGCAAGTCAGCAGACCTGGAAGTGTATGTCTTCTTTCTGC